CAGGGAAGTGGTTTCCTGGCTCTGACTGGGAGAATAAAGTGGGAATCTGTGACTGGCCTGCCCTCTGGACTATTTCATTCTCTGCAGCACATAGGAAGCCACAAGGAGCATTGCCAGGCGGCAGAGTCACATGTCCACCATTCACACTTGCCCACACATTTAGAAATTTCTGAATAGATACAGCTAGTGCCTTTTAGGCCTTAACAATTTCACTGCCATCGGGCCAAGCTCTTGGCACACTGATTTAAGTAAATGCTGCTTAAATAAGTAGGCTAAGAAAGAAAATCTCAGGCAAGAGCTTAACATGTCTGGAAATCTCTTGCGTGTTCGCAACTTTCTTAATTCAAAAGTCAAATGATGGATGGATGATCATTCCAGTAACATGTAGGTCAGTGGATAAGCCTAGCTGTGTTGCAGGCAGTGTGGTTCTCATTAGTGTGCTGCCTTCCAGATTTACTCTCGGGGGGCCAGCTAGACTGCCAGCCTAGCTGTGCCACAGTTTTCCAGCCCATTTCACTTTCTCTTTATTTTCTTTGTGAGGAAACTTTCTCGTAGAACAAAGTAAAAAGAAGACATTAATGGCACAAAAGAAAATAGTACAGGAACCGTAGCCAACACTGTCAGATCAATGTAGAACAATACAGGTGCAGTGCTTCAGTCTATGGAAGAAATGCTTCAGTTGTGCAGCAGTGAATAGGCTCTTCGACATTAGCGGATACGTACTGAAACCCGGGATTGATTTGTTTTTTACATTTCCATGAATTTCCTCCTGTTAAGATTTAAAGAGATTTTGAGGGACTAAATCAAAATTGAAGGTCCACTGTTGTTTACCAGTTATCTTTCTTGGCATGTTTACGAGTGTGCACCATAGTGTTGTGTTTTTAAAGGAGAAGGCCGGCAATGTTCTATATTATTGTCAATGTCAAGAAAGTTGCTGAAAACACCAATACCAACAATTTGTTCGCGTGTCCCTTAAGACTTTCTGACTTACCTGCCTAGTCTGTGGCTCCCAACCCCAAACCCATTCGTTTCTATCTTTTAATCTCTAATCTTTAAAAGTGCTGGCGACTAATATCCTCAATGGAAAACAACTACAGTTCAGTTCCCATGTTCATGGTATTGAAAGTGTGTCACCCAAAGCAGTAGTGTGGCTCATCAAAGTATTTTTAATAGTTTTTGGATAACAATGGAGCTCTGACACACAGGATCAGATTTTGGTTACAGAGACGATACCTATCTGTAGGATCAATTCATTATTGGTTTGCTGCTTTCCTATTAACCCTTCAAACCATATACATCTCTCCCTACAACCTTTCTCATCACGCTTTATCTTGCTTCTCAGTTGGTTTTTCTTGCATAACTCACAGTAACCCACAACAGCCCCCTTCTCTGTTAACCCATATCTCACTCCGCCCTTCTTCCAGTCCTCCCCCTCCTTCCACTCAGGATAGCATGCGTCAACCATATGCTCAGTGTTTGTAACTCGGGGTGAATGGAGCAACGCCCTCTGTCATGCCCTCTGGTGATAGACCAGATCAGTCTTTATACATGAGCTGTCTGCTGCTGCAGCAAAAGAGTGTGTGGGAGACTGACAGCCTCTTGGTTGTGCATACCTCATGTGAGAGTGGGTGTGTGCATACACCCACTTTTAATGAGATGGAGACGGAGGGATGGCTGACCGGTCAACTTTAGATGGAATTTCCTTTAGGAAACCTTGCTTCGTTATTATGAAATCAATTATTATTGAGTGTATATCTCTTACTTCATCATTCAGGGTACCCGCGGGGTCTTAAAAGTATTAAGTCTTAAATTTCATATTCCCAAAGTAAGTCCTTGAAAGTCTTAAATTTCATTACCAAAGTATTAAATTTTGTTTACCCTGGTCTTAAATGTTTTCTTGTCCTTTCGTGGGATTTAAATAATCCCGTAACGTCATAAATACTTTGTGTGTGTGAGACCTCATAATATACTCCGTTTGGTGTGACTCTGATGTTTTACGGCAGTACAGGTAACGTTACCGTTTCCGTCAGTGTTCAGCTTTATGCTCTGAACTGTGAAGTGTTTGCGGTGCGCGAGCTCTGGCATCCAGCTCTGCGCGAATCAGTCAGTTGTTAGAAAAGAAAAGAAAACGTCTCTGACGTGCTACTAACGTTAGCTCGACGACTCAGAATGGGCAAGTGTCTGAAACTCAGAAAGCCAGAGATATGAACAAGTTGGCGGACGAGGCTGAGGGCAGTGGCGCTGAGGTTAGTGCAACAACCTGATCGGCGTGCGCGCCAGTCACACTGTGGCGAGCGCTAATGGCACAGCGGAGCTGGAAGACCCGCTGAAGGTTACTGGTCGAGGACCGTGTCTGTGTGCCAGCGTTGCGCCGCTGTTGTAGGCTAACGTTATGTGAATTGAAACATCAAGCTAACACACATTAAACTTGCATCACCCAGATGCGCCGATCACGGGAATGAGGGAAAAACAAACCGGAGCCCAACTCCTTATCCCCGCTGCTTTCAAGCCAACACTATATAATACTATATTTCACGCAGCCATTAGATGCTTTAGAAAAACAGAATAGGATGAATAATCACTGAAGCAATTGGCATATTATGTTACTTTACCTTATACCTTTACATTAAAAAACAAATGAAAATACTTGAGAGAGTTTATTTGCACAATGAGAAAACATGCAATTTAAAGATAAAAGAAACAAATGTGCTTTGTTCGAAAAAATTTAAGCTAAATAAATCTGAATCACTTTATTTAAATTAAAACAATTCTACCAGAAAATGTCTCCAGAATGCAGGATAGTTAATCTAGCAGGAAGTGTTTTATATATTTCAGCATTGAATATTTCATCAAATCGCACCCATAATCTGAACCCTTGTTAGCACCAACACAAAGTGACATCCTTGATTCATATTATTTTATCAAAGTACCAACACACCCCAAGCTATAGTGTGTTAAATATGAATGTATTATAATAAAATGTTTTATTAAATTCATGTAACTTTGTTAATTTTCTCGGGCTTAAAATTAATACAGATTTTCCATTAGATGGCAGTGAAGTTGGTATTAAATTTCATCCTAGGTGGTATTAAGTCTTAAATTTAACTTTGAGAATCCTGGGGGTACCCTGATCATTACTAGTCATATTTTGAGTATCCAGAATAGTCACACCTACTTTGCACTGTCTGGAAAAAGCATCTCCACGCTCGTGCAAAAATGTGTACGTCTGATAACAAAGACAATGGGTTGTACACAGTTACCCAAATTTCACAGCAATAGTAACTAGTAGTAGCCTTTAACACAAACATGTGCTCACACCCACACAGTCGGCACTGACTGCATAGTTCAAGGCTATCACAGTTTTACAGCTCAGTTAGACAGTCAGGGTACACAGCAAGTGAAGGACTCAGAGATTATGTGCTGTGGCGGCGCTCAGATTAATACGAGGGGGAGGAAAAGTCACATTCTCTACATGCTCCAAGGAACAAAGCCTCTTTTGACCAGAACACATTCCGTATTGCGTACTGGACTTGGTGAAAACGCCAGTGTTGACCTGAGACTCTAAATATAAAGATTATACGAAACATCCCTGTAGCAAGTTAAAGGACAGGTTTACAACTCCCCTCCACTCTGCCATTAAGCTTTCAAAAAACCTGAAAGCCAAAAAGATTTTTAGGCTTTTACATCTCTTCATTTTGTAGTAGTGTGTTTCGGATAAAGCTAGTAAAGGATGAGGATTTCCAAAATCATGAGTGGATTCACTGACCTACTTCTTCTAGCATTTTGATCCTCAGCTTCAACCTGCATGCATGCCCACAATATTGAACAGCTGCCTATTTTGCCTACCTATGGTAATTTCAGAGGTGGAAAATGGCATTTTCTCTCAAGACAAACAGAAATTGGAAATTAAATATTGACATTTTATGTCTGGCTTATTTGGGGGGTGTTTTTTTCTTTTATAGTGAAACCTTAATGAACGGCAAGTCATGTCTGTTATTTTTTTAATCAGTTGTGGCGAGCGCTCATTCACTGAATAGTGACTCATTGTCAGTGATTAGCGGTAACCTATATGCAAATTTGAGAGGACAATACTTTTGAGGAAATAATAGGATTGAGTGTGCATCATGTAACCCACGGCTGTTTTGAAAGGTCCTTCTACAGAAGTGCCTCTGCGCTCAAGAGCTGTTATACATATACAGTCACAGGTACTGTGGTCTCCTTCAGACCCAGATTATTTGTGCAGTTCCCCAAGAACGAGACAGTTGAACCTTTTTTAATTGAACAGCAATGCTGTGTTAAAGGGAAACTCCAGTATTTATCAACCTGGGTGTAGTTCACATATAGACAATTTACTGCTGACTTTGGCATGAACAAAGTTGATCGGGGCAAGGAGCACAGCCTCCTACAGTTTAACAGGAAACATACATTTATTGGAAATCAACCACCCAACAAAAACAAAAAGTGGTCCACTGGAAATACCTGTAGCTAGTAAAACAATTTGGAGAATATTGTCAAGCAATGAGCCACTACTACTACTTCTCTAGCATATCGGTCTATGTTTCCCAAATCCCTACAACAATCCCAGCAGCAGAGCTTGGACGTAAAATGTTTTTATGATGACTAATCGATTATCAAACAGAGTACATTGAGTTCATTTGTTTTTTTGTTGACATTGCTGCCGCACTCTGTTATCAGTGAAAATAAATGTAGTTTTGATGGACAGCAGGCATTGTGATCTCATAATTTCTTCCTCATCAGAATTGAGTCATTGCTCTCCATGTGTGTTAGGACACAGTCTGCTAACAATGATCTGTCCTGTGGCAGGAGAACACAACAACATATGAGTTCTGTTCTGACAATTAAGACGAGGCCAAGGATTAAAAAAATATATGAATGTGGACACTTAAAGCGTTTGAAAGTAGCACTAGACATGTGCCTACCATTGGACTCCATCTAATCTCCTACTCCCTTTTACATATCTCTTTGTTTTCCGTCTCCAGTGCCTGAGGATGTCCAAGCGTAGCTTATTTGTTCGTCTGGTGCCGTGCCGCTGCTTGCGGGGTGAGGAGGAGGCCGTAACATCGCTGGACTACTCCCACTGCAGCTTGGAGACTGTTCCTAAGGAGATCTTTGGCTTTGAGAAGACCCTGCAGGAACTCTACCTCGATGCCAACCAGATTGAGGAGCTGCCTAAAGTAAGGCAGACGCTCTGATGTATAGAAACTTTATATTTCTGCTTTCTGTAATGCATCTACAAGTTCTAAAACCTTTTGAACTACATGAAGGCATTACTCACGAGGCTGCTAAATATTAACTTGCTGAATACCTAAGTAGTTTATCTCTTATGAAAAGCTTGCATTAGGGCTGGATGATATGGCCAAAAATGTTATCACGATAAAAACATTTCATATCATTCGATGTCGATAATTTTCACGATAATTCAAATTGTTATTTCTTTCAAGTTTAAAGGCTGATTTTTGCTCCTGACTGAAAATTGAAGAAACCAGATGGTTAATTAGGTAATCTTTCTTTATGGACAGAAGAACACTTCTCTGAGGAAGAACATTCAAAACTATTATGATTTTAAAAAGGTTTTCAACAAATATCATTAGTAAATCTTTTTTCAGTTCCTTTTCCTCAACAAAATAAATATTTTTATAGAAAAATTAAGTGTTAATTTGTTTGTGATTCAGATGAATTAAACCAAATATTTATTGACGATAAATTGAACATTTATTATATTGATATTGAGGAAAATTATATTGCGATAATTATTGTTTTATTGCCCAGCCCTAGCTTGCATTGTGGACAGTCTGTACTTCATTTCTATTCATTATGAATGAAGAGCCTTTGAATTATGCAGTTGAATTTTTAATACAATCAGAACATTTAAACGTCTAATATTATACTGTATAATCAAGGTCAACTATACACTTTTGGATAAAAACTGTTCTCGTCTCTCTCTCCACCAGCAACTGTTTAACTGCCAGTTACTCCACCGACTGAGCATGCCAGATAATGACCTAACGGTGCTGCCAGCAGCAATCGCAAATCTCATCAATCTCAGGGAGCTTGATGTCAGCAAAAACAGTAAGCAAAATGGCCAGTTATCTTACTGTATGTCTTTATCCTTTCTTCAGAAATGTCACTCAGGTAAGGGTTAGGTGTGTTAGAGTGGCGGATTAAATGAGTCATTTAAAAGTGTTGCATCGTTTGAAGTCTGAAAACTGACTGCAGCCACTGGTTCAGGGACATGTGAAGTTCAAATGTGTAACTGGTCTCAGTTGTCCTTGTGTTGTCATGACTGCTATTTACAACTTTTTAAAAATGAAATTGTCAGGAAAGAGTTTCATTATTGATACCCAGTATAGATTGTTTCAAAGATACTCTGAGGTAAAATGCCACAGCTTAATTAATCGCCAGGTTACGTCACAAGACTGACTCAAAACCACTGTGATGTGATGGATAAAGGAAGCTAAGTAGACCAGACATGCAACATACTAGACACTATCTTCACAACACGTAATAGTAGCAGTGATAAAACCGCTACTGTGAGAATATCTGTACAAGGTGCTGAACTCAGTGTCTTGTCAGTAGTTTCATAGAGTGGGAAGTTACAACATTTGTCAGCGTGACATTTGCCTCTCTGAAGATAAACATTCACACTGTTAAATAGGATGGATGGCTTTGTACTAGAAGTCCTTTCATTATTGCCTGTTTGATGACAACTTTCAGCTGTCAATGTTGTTCTAGTCTGACATTTAAAACAAAATACACCTGCAGACTAAAGTGTTTGAATGCTTGACAGTTCTCTGCTCATGCCCAGCTGCACTTAGAATCAGTCAGGTGACTGTGCTATTTTAAAAATTTCAGTATTTTCATAACATCCTGTTGCACATTCCTTACAACACAGAGTTTTTAGTGTTCTAACATTAACATCACTATCTGACAGTCTTTGTTCTTCCCAAAAAGATGTCAAGCTCTTAAACACACTGCAGGTTACTATGCAAGATGGTTGCTACTCACTATATAACCTTGAAGCTGAGCAGGACAGAAAAGCAGTATGCATGCTCAGTAATAATGGATAGAGAGAGGTTAAAAAGGTAATTCTATAATAATGAATGAGTGCGGCAACAGCCTAGATTAAACAAATGTTGAGGGATGTGGTGATGTTTTCATGAACCAGAGCTGCATGTGCTGTGTTGACATTACAAGTAGCTTATCCTTCTTCTCGAAGCACTCTGTGCTAAGTGTTGTGGACACAAAACAAAGTGGGTAGAAATAAACCTTGAGAGTTGGTCAAGTCACCTTTCTTGCAGTTTGCATATTGGGGGATGTTTCAAGAGAACTTGCAGACTATCCGTCAGTGGTCTATTTTTTTTCTTTTTTTTTTCTTCTTCTTCTTCATTTCCTGCTCTTTTATTATGTCACCTCGAGCACTCTTCTCTGTGTTTGTTTATAGAGGAAAGGTGCAGAGCCATGTGTCTTTGGCGCACACAATTCAGGCAGAGAGCCTTTCTGCTTGTAGTCACAATCCACCTGTGTTTAACATTCACAAAGCTACTCGTACTAAACATGAGGAAGCTGGCTTGCATTATCCATCATCTTTTTAGTTTTGACAGGAGTCGTTTGTTTTGTGTCAGTGGTAATAAAACAGTTGAGTTACAACATGCAGATGTTGAATTTAAGTGTGTACTTGTCTTACCTTCAGACCTTTTTTTATTTTTATTTTTTTGCTGTTTCTTTCTAGGTATCCAGGAGTTTCCAGAAAACATCAAGAATTGCAAAGTCCTGGCTATTGTCGAAGCCAGTGTGAATCCCATATCCAAGTGAGGACTGCCCACCCTCATAAAAATGCATATCGCCCTTGAATAACATAATTTTGGTTGAATGTTGCGCATGCAATTTTTTAAGTTTAAGTATTCTGGCATAGCAGCAGCTCTGTGTGATTCCTGTTCCTGTATGTGTTGTCAGGCTCCCAGAAGGCTTCACCCAGCTTCTGAGTCTGACGCAGCTCTACCTGAATGATGCTTTTCTGGAGTTTTTACCAGCCAGCTTTGGCAGGTCAGTTTGTTCTCCGGTTTGGATCAAGATTAAATTGCTTTTAACACAAAAACTCATGTATGAACTGTACACTCGGACTGTGGTATTAAGTGTATGCTTTGTGTGAAGCCACATGCAGTAATTGATTGGTTTATAAATAGGGCTGGGCAAGTTGACACGTTAACGCATTAATTAATTAACGCCAACAATTATTATATCTCACGTTAATGTGGCTTTAGGGTTGGGCCGATACACGATGGTGGATGGTTGAGCAGGTATCATGATTGTAAAACCCGTCCCCTGGTAAAAAAATCTAGATTTTTCACATAATACCGCGTTGTGAAAGCAGGTTTTAATCACCACAAACATTATTATTACACAGGAGGGGTGGGATGTTGATCACCCTGCAAATCACCTACCCAAACAAGCAGTGGAGGGAGGCTTCGGCAGACTACGTGGGAGAAGTAGATAAACAAAAGCAAGACAAGCGATCAACTAAAAGTGAAGTGGATAGCTACACACTGCATGCTGATTAGCATTGGAGAAGATGTCGATCTTAGGAATGTTCTTAAATTAGTACATAGTCGCTTGGCCACGTGGGGTTGCTCTCCGCTCCTCAGGTGAGCAGGAGACAAGCGCTCTGCGAGTAAACAGCAGGCGCTCTATGGATAGTAAACATGGAAACGGCTTCTGTGTGCTACACAGCTGTAGTCCATTTACCTTAAGTTAAAATTATAGGCTAACGTTATATAACTTCAGTTGATAGGCCTACATCTAGTTTTGCGGGGATGCTCTGCCATGCGAATTCCCTCCTGTTGATGTCCTATTTAGTAAACCGTAATAGATTCTGGAAACTCACAAACAGCGAGGGTGCGTGAGGTGACCACTTCCCCTCACTCTGACAGGGACACTTACTACTGAACACAGACTGTTTATGCTGCTCCCTGATAATAGATACCTGGTGATACCTGTTCAGGGAAAAGAAAACTGGACTCTGATGGTAACTTGTTTTAACAAGCTAGATAAAATAATGCCCTGGCAGAGTTAAATAGCTTTGGTTTTATATTTGATTTGATTACATTAATGTTTAAGTTGATATTTAGAAGACATATTTTATTGCTACTTATTAAAGGAGATACTACTGTTAAAAAGCACCTTATTTATTTAAAGTGTTTGCAAACCACATGTTATTGCACTTTTCTTTACATAGCAATACATTTAATTTGAAAGCGCGTAACAATGCGATTAATTGCAATTAAGCATTTTAATTGTTGCCCAGCACTATTCATAACACCGATATGGCTGCAATAGCACTAGGTTTATCAGATTGTGAATCTGATTCTTTTTTTAAAGGCATCCAATTAAATCTTGGCTCCAATTTTTAAAAATAACATGGACTTTACTTTCTGCAGCGGTCAAAAAAGCAAAAAATATAGCGCATATTTGACATAATGTCGCTGGCTTGATAAGGTTAGACCAGTCAGAGAGACTTTCACTGTATAATCAACAGTAGAGCCAGGTGGTATTGATGATGACATAAGACTAGCTTATGTCATCTCCATATCATAGTGGTTATATTGATGTAAGTTTTTTGAAACCATTGATGTGAGTTTCTATTTGACAACATCGCCCAGCCCTTGCTTACAATAAATATGTTTTAGTTACAGTTTATTAAGCTATATACTGTGTATCACAGGATCACGTCGCAGCCAAAGTACATGTTGTATTGGATGACTTAGATTGTATTAGATGTGTTTCATCTTGCAACACCTCTTTAAAGCAGCCATAATTGATGTGAAAGGGGATGCCTGTAGTGATAAACCTACAGAGGGATATCATCTGGATCTGCTTTAGTTTCATGTCATTGTTTAGGTGTCTTGACCACTCCTGTTTTGTTTCACTCTCAATACTCTCAGCGTCATATTCAGCCACAGCAGGTGAAAAACCTCTAAAAACCCACTGTACTCTACCTGCCCACCAGAAGACAAACGGTTAGCAACTTAGCTGCAGTACATATGTAGCATTCATCAGCTAAAGAGTCAGAGTTTCCCTCAGGAGTTGGCAGAAGCCAGAGCTAAAAGAGAATGAATCTTGGACTTAAATTTGCTGGCGGCCAGAAACGCAAGTCTAAATGAATGATGATGTCGCTGCTCTGTAACTGCTCTGTAGGGTGGCGATGACACAATGGATAAGACTATGCCTTTGGTGTGAAAGGACCTGGGTTCAATCCCCCACTGTGACCCATCTACCATTGTGTCCCTGAGCAAGACACTTAACCCCTAGTTGCTCCAGAGGCGTGCAACCAACTATTGGCTAAAAAGTTTGCCATATCAACACTAAAGGAAATGATATGACAATGTTGTGTTTAATCAATTGTTTCCGCTGCTCCAAAAGTGGCCAAACATCAGTTATTACAGGTTTAACAGCCTTTTCAGCTGTGAAATAGCACTTCTGATTAAAAAAAAAAAAAATGGCCTCTGCTGTATGCTTCATGTGAAAGATATTCAATATTTTTTTGGAGTACTTAATTTAGCATGTTTTAAGATTCTGATTCAAAATTATTTGCCAAATTTACAACTATCATTTTAAGATGTGGTCATTTTCTTAAAAGATTAAAAATAATTTTTCATCAAACAAACAGGATGAGTCATGCTATTATTTGTACTTTACACAATAGTTGGTGTTGAGCCTTCTGATTACACAAAACTTGTAATGCGAGTTGACAGCTTGTCAGCCCCATAGCCCTATTTCATCACACTAATGCTCCTCTCCTCATAAACCCACACTTTTCCTTACATTACATCTATTCATTTGCTATGTATGTCAGAGGTCGTACACCTCTGGAGCAACTAGGGGTTTAATTAGGTTTAATTCTTTGTTTTGGAAAATGACTTTACCATATAAGACCTTGTCAGCTGCACATTATTGCTGGTTAGTAGCAGATAAGCCAGCAGAGGAAATTGTGGTTGCTGTGATGGCTCAAAAACACATCGCACATAATAATTTTTTGATGCAGGTAAAGTACTGGAAAATCATTATTAACACTTAAGCAATAAAATAATAGGGTGCAAACTAACAGGTTACAGTTGACACAAATATTTGTAAACTTGGGGTGCTTTTACACCTGTAGTTCGGTTCATTTGGTCCGGACCATGTGAAAAAAATTATACACTGTTGCATTTTAGGTCCGGTTCGTGTTCACACTGCAGTTCTACAAACGAACCAAGAGAAGTAACCATGACGTTAAACAGATACTTACAGGTAACTTGTGATTGGACAGTTTCGGTGATTGCATCATCAGGGCCCACGTGGGGAAATCAAACTCTGTTGACCGACAGAAGTTTATGCAGCTGACCTGTATTGCAAAGAGCTCACAAAGTAATAATTTATTATAAGCATGATTAGTAATGTTAGACCGCATAGCCTATTATGTATAATAATGTAAAAACAGGACATGTACAGTAATAATACAGGTTTTATTAGCCTATAGTATGTAGTGGTATCGCTGTCACAAATGTTTTATGGACTTAATGAACTGACAGTGTAAACGGAGTACTACTTGCCCTCCTTTTTTAACAGACTTATTAATCAGGGAAAATACCTGTGCTGACAAGTATGCATTACCAAATTATTTTCATAAACATAGCATGGCTTATACAGATCAATTATAACATCACTGAATACATTTAGCAGTCAGCAGATGGATTTATTAGAGGTTTAGCTTTGGAAATAATGCTCAGATCACATCCTCTTCAAGGAGGTGGTCTCAGTAGGAGCACCAAGGGCGAAAACGAACTCTAGTGCGATTCAACCGAACTAAATTAGGCAGGTGTTAAAGCACCCTTAAGTAATGAAGGTGAATAAAGGTTACAGTGTCATTTAAATATGAAGTGGTGTTTGCGATGATGACATTGGCTTATTACTTGGTTGCAGGTTGACTAAACTACAGATCTTGGAGCTCAGGGAGAACCAGTTAAAGATGTTGCCAAAGTAAGTGGTTTTTCCTTCACATGTTTTCCAAACATCAAACACGCAAAATGGTAATTTTATTTACAAAATAAAGGAGCAGTATCACTGTGTGGCTCCTTCCTCTCACAACCCCTGTAATGTCTCTGCTGTGTTCTTTTTGTTTTTTACAGTAGGTTCACTACGCACACCTTTTTAACTATAGTATTAAATTCCACTGTGTTACATCAGAGCCCCTTTTACTTGACTGCTTGCTGTGGCAGGTTTTATAATCCTTTACTGAGACAGTGGTGAGGGTTATTTCAGCATTTGCGAAGGTTACAGTGCCGTCGGGAGACTTAACATCCCATGAGTATTTGAGAAAGCTCCAGGTGATTTTGGGGGAAGTTACTCTCTCTGTCTTTCTTCGCTCATGCTTCACTTGCTATATCACTCCATTTTTATGTCCTTCCCATTTTCTCGGGAAAACTATGTTTCCCTATTTGTCTTTTTTTGTCCTTCCTCCTTCTGGCTGAGTTTCCTTTGTCGTCTCGCTCACTTTCCTTTTTCTTATTCTTTACTGACTGACAAGCCAGCCTGTGTATAAAGTGCAGTGCTGCAGCTCAGAGCGGATCCTCTCCTCTCGCTGTGTTTATGATACGGAGGCCAGAACTGTTAAAGGCTGGAGCCCTGACAAAGAAAAGGACTAATGATCGGGAATGTTGCCAGAGCAACACACAAACATTTCAGAGATGTAAACAAATGTGTGCGTGCACAAAGGGGCGCAGTAGAGATCTTTTCAGTGCGTCCACAGAGAGTGCAGTCTCTTTTCTCTCATTGACATACCAAGCTCATGCACATACAAAATGTCTCTCTGTATTTTAAAGGATTCTGTGTGTTACTCACAACTTGGGGTCATAAGCCATAGTGTAGTGTTTGCTCATTCTTACCCCTTTCAGCTCACATGGGGGTCTCTGGTGTTCTTTCCAACTTTGAGGTAAGAATGTGACAAAGCTGGCTAATGCTCAAGAACATCGACATGATTGTTTTCATATTGCACAAAGAACGAAAAACAATCATCAAAGGGCTTAAATCATATTTATAATATGTGCCGGATGCCTTGCATTCTGGTTTCATGAAGAGCACTTAAAAACAAAACTCCACAGTAATGTTGGTGCGCCTCTGCTTTCCATTCCTGTGCTGAATCTCACTCATGCCTTAAGGAAACACAGTTCATGCCTGCAGTGAAAGGATCATCATAACTGTTCGCAAACAGAACTCGGCACCTCACATCTCTAGTCATGGTCTCTTGTATTTTATGAATAGTTCAAACGAATGTCCTTCGATCAAGGAGACTAAAACTAATTGAAAATGACCTGTGTTGTATTTTTATTTTACTCTTGCAGATATTTAACGTTCACTTTTTCAGTTCTGTATGTTTCGTGATATCTAGTATTTGCTGCTGCCACTGAGGGGTACATGCCCTTAGATGCATCTTAGTAGATTTTGATGAATAAGAGTGAAACTTATTGATTGCTTAGAATGTAAAATAAGCCTTTATAAGAATATTTCACCTCCAATTTTCATTCAGTCATTGGTGAGCAGTTAATATAAATACTGTAAGCAGTTGAATAGTCCAGGTTTTTATCTGCATGTTTACAGTGTAGCAGAGAATGTGAGACTCTGACCTGAATGTGGAGAGAAAATTCTGGAGCAAGGCTTAGGGCTAGCACACGTCACACTTTCCATTATTAAAAGCATATTTCTGCCATGCCTGGGCTCTAAAAGGTATTTATTTTCTCATTATTTTTTTCAGTGAAAGGAGTAAAGGCACAGTATGTATGCCATCCAAAATATATAACACGGAAATTGACAGATCTTTATTTATTTTTTTTATTTTTTTGGCTCGCATTTTGAAGCACATGGCCCACATGGCTTATAATCCTGGCTGATGCTCTTGTCTAAACCAAGGGGGTCAGTTTAGTGTTTTCTAATAATTTTCAAATTATGACTTTCTCCGCTTCTGCAAACATGAAACGTGGTGACTCATAGTTGATTGATTTTGATTTACCCGTTGATTTCAAGACCTCACTTCCTGTGTGTCTACAGAAGCATGCACAAGCTCACACAGCTGGAGAGGTTGGACCTGGGGAGTAATGAGTTCACTGAAGTGGTGAGTATCTGTCAATGCACCAAGACTCTCTACCTTTCTAGTGTTTCCTTTCCTTCTCCTTCATTTTTTTCAAAATGGGAGCTGTGCTTAAGTGCACATACAATAAGTGCTCATTTATTTTCATTGAAAGATTGCAATCTTAATATGTGATAAAATAAACATTATAAGACCTTTTTATGAATCATTTTCAGCTTGTTTATGAGTTAAGCTCTTCATCCTGTCCCTGCCCAGCAGGTGCACTCACACACATCCCTATCACTTAACCTGCCTTCTCCTTTTTACATCTACAGCCTGAAGTGTTGGAGCAGCTGGCTGGAATCAAGGAGCTGTGGATTGATGGGAACAGACTGACATTTTTACCTGGGGTATAATTTACAGCCAAACATCATCTTGAGATAATTTCCCTTGATTTTCAGTCTTTGTGTCTTCTTAAGTCTTCATCAGAATGAACTGCAGTCAGTTTGCATCAGACTTTCAGCCCTCTGAAAACCAGCAGAGAAGAGCTGCAGTTCAGAAATGATTTCCTTGCTGGTAGATCACAATTAGACAGCTTTACATAAAAAAATGCAGACCTTTGAGTTTGCAGATGTCTCAATAATAATTAAAAATAATTCTGCAGCTGTGAAGTAATTATATTTGTTGAATATAATTAATTTATAATGATGTTTTGTTAGTTAGGACCTTCCTTTTTCATCCGAATGACCAGCTTGTTTGTAACTGGGTCATAATTAAAGCATTAGTTCTGCTCCCAGCTTTTCAACAACATCAGCTGTAATCACAGTCTGGCCTTTAATAAGCAGTGACGTATGTCCAGAATATAAACCGAAACTGAATACAGTAACAGTTTTCCTTTTTACTTAAAAAGTGTTTCAATATTTAAAAGTATAATAAACCTTTTTTGGGATAATAAGGTGCTCCTACCTACATTACTTTACGTCACTGGTGAGGATGTTTTAGGAATTGTTTAATCCACTGTTTCTGTTCAACCAACACAACTGCCTAATCGTTGGCATAAATAAAATGAGGATAATGAGATATCAGTGAATATTCTGTGCATTTATTGTGTGTCCTTTTACTTATCCAGATGCTTGGGACACTAAAACAGCTGGTATACCTGGATGTGTCGAAGAACAACCTGGAGATGGTAGATGAACAAATCTGTGGCTGTGACAGTCTGCAAGACCTACTGCTTTCCAACAATGCCCTCACACAGCTGCCAGGCTCCATTGGTGAAGATTACAACACACTTACACACACACACACGTCTTATTTGCAGAAATTCCATTATGAAACACCTTAACTCTCTTTCAGCTATTGCCAATGCATTTTTCATTCCTGGGTCCATTGCTGTGTTGGTTTTGTAGATATTATATTGCCACAGATGACGTAACAGTGTTTTTTCCTTAACTCAAACACATTTTCATAACACTAAAAGTGCACCAACATTCAAAAATCATACTGTAAGAAATCACCAGAGAGGAGGATGCAATATCTGTTTCTCTAGCTACAGTAATGTCACAGTTGTTCACAGTGCCGTAGTGCCACAAGATGTTGAGTTTTAACCAAATAATTCTCAAAACTATGCCACAAGTGTCTCACTGTCTTCCTTCTCAGGTACTGTGGACTGTGGTTATTTTTGCCTTAATGGACTCATCTTTCATCCATATTCACATGCATACCCAAGATTTAAATTTTTAGGGACAAAATGCAGGTTTTATAATGATTTCATTCCTTGGGGGGGAAATGGTGTTCATGAGTTAAGACCAGACTAATTAAATCGGATGCACAGTGCTGTAGAGTCAGCGTTGATTATTAGTAAACTGATTTCTGTATCGATGACTGAATGAATTAATCAAATGAATTAACTGCTGTAATTGATATTCTTCTTTGTGGTGCAACAGTACATGATGCTTTTGTATGCATCTCTCTAATTCTCTTGCTCTAAAGGCTCTCTGAAGAAACTGACTGCACTGAAAGTGGATGAGAACCAGCTGATGTACTTGCCAGACTCAATTGGAGGGTGAGCGATACAGCAATAGCTTTAATATCTGCAGAATAAACCCTGAGATCAATGGATTATTGTGCTGTTTTCATCTGCCATTCACTGACCGTATAAAGCGCCTGTCTGGATAAATTAGATATTCCCATTAAACATAATGTGTTCAGATGCTTTATTTGTTTTGGTCTAATGCTGATGATATTGAGTAACTTGATAATGGCCGTGATTATGAAGTATGAATGACAATAATTTAATCTCATGGTTCTGAGTCTACCGTATTGATAAATGGAAACAGTTTGATTGTAATCTTGGGCCAGATGACCTTCCAGTACTGATAGATTAAATCAGCCATAGCTGTTCTCAGAATGAAATTTTCTGCAGCAGACAGGTAATCCCAGCAGCCAGCAACTGCTGAGGCCGTAGTGTAGGAGCCAGGTCCAAGTCCTGACCCTTTGTCTCCTAATTCATTGTGGTCCAGCACAAAAATTAGAATGCAATTTAATCCATCCATGTTTTTTTTTTAGCTCCTATGTCCATGACAAAATTATATATTTACTGCATCTGTGCAGTCTTGATTTTCATGTTTCCAAACAACACACATCACATATGTTGTGTCTCGTTGTGTAATTTCACACAGATTATGTAACAAATCCTATGGTTAATCTTAATCCCATGCAAGGATTTTATTTTAAGCAAGCTGATTTTCATATTTCTTTTTTTTTTTTTCATTCATACAATTCAGTCCACTGTTTGTGCACGGTGTTGCTGTATTACATTCAGCAGGGAGGGGTCAAATCCTGTGTTTTTGAGTTTGATGATAGTATGACACAGTAGCTGTCCTGCACGTCAGACTCTGTTTGCATTCATCTGAACCCCCAGAGTGAATTTGCATTTTTCATTCAGCTGAAAGCCCCAGCTGCACAGCACTTCTGTGTCATCATGGGTTCAGTTTGAAATGTCACTACTTTAAATTATGTCCCACAAAGCTTTTAAGATGTATCAGCGTTGTTGTAAATGTCTCTTAGTACTTCACTGTAAGATATCGCAACAGTTCTTTTTCTTTTACCATGTTGGTAATCCAAATCTTGATGTTGCAGGAATTTAAAGGGCACTCCACCAATTTACTCAATTCAGTTTACTCATCATAACAAATACTACGCAGTCTGTGAAAAAAGCTGCATAATGTCTGCTGTGTGCAGTGTGGGTGTTTACCAGGCAGGACTGATAAAAACAATTCTATTGAACTGCATTATGGGAACTGCAGAGTCTGGGGTTTTTGGTACTTGACATATATTAGGGACTAAAGGTCCCTACAAGACTAAATGTAATCTGTTTCTCTCAAGTTTCCCAGCTTTGTGGAATTGCACTACAAAGTCACTCTAGTATCCCTTTAAGTTCTTTAAAAGAGATTAAATCTTGTTTCACATAGAATGTACTGTGTTTGTATATAGTAATGACACCGTATGAGTGAATTCTTCCTGCTTCTCTCTGCATCAGGCTGACATCTCTGGATGAGCTGGACTGCAGTTTCAATGAGATCGAAGCCTTGCCCTCTTTCATCGGCCAGTGCGTCAGCATCCGCACCTTTGCTGCAGATCACAACTTCCTTACCCAGCTTCCCCCTGAGGTGAGTATGCACATTAGGTTATAGATGTGTTTGTAAAGATTAAAAAATGTGTTAAATTGTGTGCATGCGAGTCTGCTCATCTTGTTGGCTAATGGCTCAGTGTCCTTCCCCTCACAGATGGGCAACTGGAAGAATGCAACTGTGCTGTTCCTTCATTCCAACAAGCTGGAGTCCTTGCCTGAGGAAATGGGTGAGATGCAGAAGCTCAAGGTCATCAACCTCAGCAACAACAAGTGAGTCTGAACTGATGGTGTTCATTCATAAGACGATAGAAGTAATTTAGGTTTTGTTTTTTGTTCATATTGAACTATTGCTGAGTCATTTTAAAGCACACATTGCAATCATTCTCTGGCTCCAGATGCTCAAATTTGTTACTTATTTCCGTTTTTATATCATTGTAAATTGATTTTGTTTTTAAAGTCTTGGCTGTGATATTTAGGACATTTTTCCACTCTTTTCTGACATTTTATAAACTAAGCGATTCATCAAAATATCGAGAAAATAATCATCAGATTGAAAATAATCTTTCCCCCTGGTTAAATAAAGGTTAAATAAATAAAAAAATGAATCGCATAAATTGATGAAAACAACAACAAAAAAAGAATGTGTTGGTCTTACTCTTACATGAGCACACACACAGGCTGAAACATTACCCGATAAATACAACTTCATGGTCGAAGGCTCTTAATTTTGGCCTGAGCCATTTTTATGGCTTTGATTTGGAAGCTGAGGCCTGATTAAGGTTTTAATCAGGGGTTTTCCATAGTGGTGTCTGCTCTGTGCCAAATACTATTTTTGATTTTTACCTTGCATTGGGTTTGTAAGTCTTTCTAAGTTGTTTGTATAAGATGACTGATCACTTGTGGTGTTTTTGTTACACTGCAGGTTAAAGAATCTTCCCTACAGTTTCACTAAACTGAACCAGATGACTGCAATGTGGCTGTCTGAAAATCAGGTGAGATAACATTTATTATGTATAAATCACATATATAAGGGTTTCACAAAAGGTGCCACTGAGTTCAGAGCGGTCCTGTGTTCTATAGACATTGTAATGGTAGCAGGGTACGTAACAACATTCAGGTGTAAGTGAATCCAGCTAGTAGCTGACAGGAAAACGCATTCAAAATGCAGTAAACCACTTCCAGGACATTTGATCTTAACGTGCCAAATGTCAGTGCAGGTCAGATTTAATGATGGCATAAACTCTACATTTTTAAAGTGTAGAAGCATCCAAGTGAATGTCAGAAAATGTTATCCTTACCTTAATACAGGTTGTATGTTAATCTAGACAAGCCTACCAAAAAAACTGACACAAGTCTGAATGACATTTTTGTAGAAAAGCCTGCAGCACTAGTCGGACGTAAAGCAGCTGTACAGAGATGAAGGTTTCCAGGCAAGTTGTGCTTGAAATTCGGTTTTTGCCTTAGTTAATGAAGCCCTTGACAGAACACAAGATAAGCCTATCTGAGGTGGAAACGTTTGCTCATGTGTCAGGAAGTGGTTCCTAGTCCCACTTTGTCCTAACACTGTAGCTTTGTATGGGAAAGGAATTCTTGAACTACTCATATCAAGCTTAGCAGATGAGTTATGAAGTGTGCAAAGGCAAAATAAGGCTGGAGGGAGAAGACACTGCAGCAGTATACTGATTCAGTTTATTTAGAAATATTTATGAGCTGGATAAAGCAGTCTGTTGACTCACTGCATTGTAAAATCAATTATTCATGCCCTTTTCTCATCCTAGCTAGACTATTGTAAGTCTCGGTTCAAATGCCTTAACAAATTGTCACTGGAAAAGTACAGCCATTTCCAAATGCAGAAAAACTGTAAAACCAGCCGTAGAGAGCCCATGTCTCCCCTGTCCTGGCCTCAAGTCTGCTGCCTACTTTATACAGAATAAGAATTTCTCTCCACAATCAATCTCCTGCCTCTTGTGAATTGTGAACTATAGCCTGACCGATATAGGATCTTTGAGACCGATATTGATAATTGAGCTTATTAAGCTCTTTTTTTTTTTTTCTTTCTTTCTTTCTTTTTTTTAAAATGACAATTGTGACCAAGAAATACACTGGGCAGGACATTTTAAAATACAAAACATAAACTTGTCACTACTATCTGGTGGACAAACTCTAGAATAACACTGATTCAAAACATATTTTCTTATATAATATCTTGTTATTTATCTACTGTCTTATACACCAGTACAGATATATCTGCAATGAGCTATATGTGATGGATATAGCGGCCTTGGCTCCGTTCGCCTGGGCTCTAGGGGAAGACCAAGTTTTACTAAGGTTTTTCCCCCAGGCTTTTTGAAACGGCCTCCTTATAAACGGTTTGGAATCCAGTATGGACAAACAGGCCTTTTGATGGATGGTTTTATATTGTTTTAGTGTATAAAATAAAATTCTCCTTGTTTTTATTGACTTGTAAAGCACTTTGTAACACTATAAAGGCACTACATGTATATAAATCAGATTTACTTATAGTCAGGAGTGCAGCTCCTGAAATAAATAAGAATAAAGAAATAAAACCCAGGAGAGGCTGTTCAACAGGCACAGGGCAGGTGCAATAATGGTGATGGGGCCTAGGGGAAAGGTAGTAGGTTCTCAGCCAAAGCGAGGCCAGTGGGTGGTTTGGAGAAAATTAAAGGAAGAAACTCAGCTGGAAAGAACCGTGGGAAATCGGGGGGGAACCACGTTAATTTTGACAAAGCACCGTTGATTGCAGATAGCACACTCAAACCTACTTTCTGTCTCCCACAGTCAAAGCCCCTGATTCCTCTCCAGAAGGAGGAGGATCCAGAGACACACAAAACTGTGCTGACCAACTACATGTTTCCCCAGCAAATCAGGACTGAGGACTGTGAGTACTGTGTTCAACAGGACAAATCTTCTCTTAAGTTCTTTCATGGTTAATCTGGCAGACCCTCCAACTGCAAATGTTTCTGACTTGTTTTCTCCAATCAGTTCTTATCGCGGGGCTGAGTGTTAAAGAATTTAGGCAATCATACAACTTTACCTGTATTACTCCTAGTATGAAAGTAAAGCACAGGAAATAAGTGGTTTTATTAACATGTAACAGTAAGTCACACAAATCTTATTTCCTGGTAAAGCAAATGTATTTTTATGTCAAATCTCTCTTTTCAGGCATTGCCATGACTACCACTACTCTATTTATCATAGCAGTCTTGTATGTGACCTGCAAGGGTTCCTGTCCTTCATATTTTATGAAGGACCTCGTTATCTGAGACGAAATCTGCACTAGTCGTCGTCTTCTTGTCAAGCATCTGTTAGTTTGGGTTGGTTTCCTATTACACCAGACAGCTTGCACTGACCCTGTTGCATCTTAGCTTTAGAGTAATTAGAGGTTCAAGATCTACATACTTGAACACCTGAATTGTTAGTGAGTCAACTGCTTGATTTTTGTGACGGTGTTTTCTTGCACCATAAGAAAATGCCCCCGTACATGTTGTACAGGTTCTGTCCTCTGTTTATCTCATCTGCTTAATGCCAATTTCCATAGTTATCTGCTGGGATGTTTTCCAAAGGAGCATTATCTGTTCTGTCGTACTTTCCAGAGAAGCTGGAATAAGTCATGGCCTGACTGCAATGATTATGTTTTACAACTTGTTGATATGGAGGCTGCACACCAGGTGGCTCACATTATCCACTGTGCATTCACATTCTGTTATGGTGTGTTAAGTTGTAGAAAACCGGAGGTCTTGATATGGTCTGTTCTCAGCTAATGTGTCATAAGAATTAACTACAATACAGTTGTTGTTTCCTATGCAATATGTACACATTTTATTGTTGTTTTTTTTTCACTCAATTGAGGGTAAAGAGCTTTTTAACACAGGAAACCACACTGACTGGCTCACACCTTGAAGATAAAAATGACAATTTTATATTCTAGACGATGATGTCAACTTTGAAAAAAAAAAAAAAAAAAACACAGGATGGAATATATTTGCACAGTTGATATTGTTGGTTAAGTTTCCCCTCTGTTGCACTACTTGATACTTGGTTTTGCGAGTGTGAGAAACTAACAGACACAACAGAGAGCAGGTCACTAATGCGTGACGCTAATGCAGAGTTTTAACAAAAGCAACGTCATCAAAACCACAACCATCACTGCCAAGATTTTCATAGTCATCATGGTCTTGCTTCTCTCCTCCAAACATATTGGCATACAGGAGTGACAGCAAAAGAGTGAGATTAAGCTGAATGCTTAGTAGTGGCAAATCATGCAAGCATGTTAGATGAGTATACTTTTTATACATTTGCTTTTTATGTCAAACTTTTAGATCGGATGTGGTGTCAGATTGAGGAACAGGGTCAAGCCAGTTGTCAAGCAAGTTGTTTTTTTGCTTTCAAATGCTTTCATTTTAATGCAGTTTATCAGAACAACAATTCCTAGTATCAGTAATACATTGTTGAATGGTTCCCTTTGAGTGTAAGGGGTTGGGTTAACTCCTGAATTTCAAGTTCCTCCACAGTTCTTTAATTTTATTGGCATGCCTCATGTTGTCTTTGCGCCATCTTGTGGTTAAGGTCAGACTTGCAAGTTTGAAACACAGGACATACAAGATCTTAATTCAAAACTAACAAATGATCCTCTTTATGGTGGCTTCTGCTTTCAGACATTCCCAACTCTGACTCTGAGAGCTTCAATCCAGCACTCTGGGAGGAACAACGCAAGCACCGAGCTCAGGTGGCCTTTGAGTGTGACGAGGACAAGGACGAGAGAGAAACACCCCCAAGGGTTAGTGTCAGACACCTGTCCACATAATGGGAAAAGAAAAATAATTGTGGTTAAATAGTTAACCAAACTGCAAGGAAGTTGTTGTGATCACAAAGTATTATTTAAAGAACCTTCAGTTTTGACGTAGCTTTTGTTATGTGAAATGTGCCTCATTTCCAACAGCAATTTCTTTATTCAGGATCTTTTCTTGCCTAATTTAAAACCTCAAACCAAACAACATTACTATAGATTAAGGAACAGAGCAACCTTATAGTGCCTTTTTATCTTTGGGAAGTCTATATGAAACTGAATGCTCCTTCTCCATGTTATTCCCATTCAACATTGATAGTTCACTTCTCCCAGTCCCACTGCTGTCAAAACTGCAACCACATGATTTTAATAGTAGGTTTGTGGGTATTTGTACTCTTCCAGGAAGGAAACCTGAAGCGCTACCCTACGCCATACCCAGACGAGCTGAAGAACATGGTGAAGACAGCCCAGTCTGTGGCTCACAGACTGAAGGAGGATGAGTCGGGTGATGAGTCGGGAAAAGATGCAAAACCAATTGAGAGGAATCACATTGGAGTGCAGGATGTGGGAGTTAAGGTCAGCTTGCAAAAAAATCTTTCACTTTCATTTCTTGTCTACTTTATTTTACAATGCTTTTATCAGTACAGACGGTGAGTTATTTATTTTATATTTAGAGAGAGAGAGAGAGAGAGAATGAGTGAATTTTTAATAAATAACTCACCATCTGTACTGTTTTTGTGCAGGTGATAGAGGCCCCCTGTCCTAACGGCATGGCATCAGACGTGGACCCCCAAGTATCTACCATCACATATCCTTCTGCACCTGAATCAAAAGACACTTCGGAGTCTTACAGCTCTCAGAAAGTCCCACTCAAATCTTCAGGGGGCTCTATGATGAACCATGAGGACACACTGGAGGTACTCTTAACATTTAGTTCTCACAATTACACTAACATACAGCAAGTATGAAAAATGCAACTTAAGACGACTCTTTTGTCTTCAGGATTCTGATGAGCTGTTTGATGAAGAAGAGGAGATGAAAATTGCAGAGATGAGACCCCCTCTTATTGAGATTTCCATAAACCAGCCTAAAGTAGTGACTTTAAGTAAGGACAAAAAAGGTAAAAATATAGTATCTTAACTTTTTTTACTTGACACGTGACCGTGTCTAGAAGCAGTTCACTAACAGTAATATTTCTGATTAACAGATGACGCTGACTCTTTGCTGGATGACACAGTGGCCAACAGCAACCAGAACAACAGTAACTGTTCATCGCCATCCCGCATGTCTGACTCCGTGTCTCTGACCACAGACAGCAGTCAGGACAACTCTCTGTGCACCCCAGAGAGAGAGGCAAAGATGCCCTTCCTACCAAAAAGCCGGTTAGTACCATTCTTTAACCTGGGAGTCTTCCTCCTGCTGTTATAACAAAATCTGATTACCTCTTTGTTCTGTGTTTTAGGCAAGAAGATGAGAATATGAACCAGCCTAAAGACACCACCCCTCTCCTCCATAATGGCAATGGCTCTGAAACGTCCCTTCAGGCCCTTTTGAAAACCCAGCAGACCCCACCAGAGAAAATGGGTGACTACGACCTGTCCATGGAAGCCAGACTGGCCTTCATTGAGAAGGGAATTAACAACGGCATGGGAGAAACCTACACAAAGTGGGACCAGATCAATATGAATGTGTCCAAGTTGCCAACCGACAACATGGTTCAGATGGATGACGTGGACAAAACCAGGAATGGTTCTGTAACCCAGGAGGACTTTGACAGCAAGCAGGGTTTTAGCAACGACAATATGGAGCATTTTCTGAATGGAAACCAGCAGGTCAGTGAATGCATCAATAGTCTCGGGGACAAAAGCCACGCGATGAGGGTGGAGACATCTGCTGTGCATGTGGCCTCGACAGGCGTGACAGCCAGCAGTGACATGTCTCTGTCTCGCAGCACAGAGGAACTGTCTCCAGAGAAAAGGTGCCATCCCCCGCAGGTGATGAAGTCTCACAGTGTAAGCAACATAGAAACAGAAGACATGAAGCTTTACTCTTTTGATGGGGATAGTGACACAACAGGAATGACTAGGGTGGCGGGGGCCGGCCCAGGGCCAGGAGCTCAGGGCCAGAGCATAGTCAGGAGCAAGTCAGCCAGTCAGTTACTCAACGACCAGACTCTCCAGGTCTACCCCTGCTCCTCTGCATCTTCCTCAGACCTGCTATCTTCCTCTAAGCCCCCCGCCAGCACCAGCAGATATCCAGTTTCCTCCAGCATGGCCATGGGCATTCCTCCTCCTCAGTACAATATACAGTACACAAGCAGTGCCATACCTAAAGAGGGCCTCTGGGCCCAGAGGACACCCATGCCCCTAGAGCACCAAGGCTACCTCCCTCCTCCTCCACACTCACTAGCCAACACCAACTACTCCAACCGTAATCAAGCACCTCCCTACCCTCTACAGCCCCAGCAGAGGGGGCCTCCCATGGGTCCCAAACCGTCTGGGGACATGTGGGTTAAAGAGAGACTTTATTCTACTGGAAGCCAGTCTAGAAGCAGCACTCTGCAGAGGCAAAGCAGCACCACCTCCACCGCCTCCATGAGCGACCCAAGGCGCATGCAGGTGCCTGACGGCGAATACATGACATACAGGGACATTCACACCCTCGCCAGGGGGCCGCTGGCCATGAGCCAGGCCATGCAGAGGCCCCTCTCAGCTCGCACTTACAGCATCGACGTACCTGGATCTTCCAGGCCTCTCAGCGCCAAGCCGCAGCCCCATGAGCTTCCAGAGAGGACCATGTCTGTCAGCGATTTCAACTACCAGCACAGCAGCCCCAGCAAGAGGCCCAACACCAGGGTGAAGTCTGAGCACTCACTGCTTGATGGGCCCGGTCAGTTGTCAGGGGGAGCAGGAAGGGTGCCATCTGACTGGAGAGACCAGGTGATGCGGCACATTGAGGCAAAAAAAATGGAAAAGGTAAAAAAGTACTGCTGTAGTATGATAAAATGAATTGCCCCAAAATGATTTACCGTCTGTGCTTTGTTTGTTTGTTTTGAGGTCCTCTGTCTCATTAATACAGTTTCTGGTTGAGTTGATATTTAACCAGTGTTTTTGTAGTGGTTAATCTGTGAACTTCAGATGACATGAGACCAACAGTATGAATACATTCGTCCCTACAGGGCAGCACAACAAGGATAAAGCTGTAACCTAGAATCCTAAACTTCACTATTACATGAGCTCAAATTACTTTTTCTGTTGTTTCACCCAAACTACCAAAAATACATAATGTCGCACATGTCATAGCTCTGCAGATAGTTTGGGTTTTGTTACCCCAGACTTTGAGGTATCTGCCACCACCCCAATGGAGGTGAAAAGAATTTTGTTTGTGGTACTTGTAGAATTGAAAAATGACATGGAAAAAAATAAATAAATAAAAATGAGCAATGCGTCTTTCCAGAAAAAATGTCTCTGTTTAGACCTCACTGGCAACAATTTTCACTACTTTATAACAAAGAAATAGTCTCTATGACACCTGTTGACAGTATGTTGTGTATTTTTTTTTATGTAATTATTTCAGTGTTGTTTTCATCATACACAAAATTCCATTCACCACCACCGTATAGGGGGCAGGAGTGGGGCTTGTATCGCACACATCATTACATCAATGACATCAAATCTGAATCCAATTTAAGGTTTGAACGTTGAATCCACATCTGAATCTAAAAGAACCCCTCCCCTATACTGGGCGGTCTCAAATAAAACCAAAACAAGCTGGATACCATTATGGATCTCTGGGTGAAGGGACCCTTTTTAAAATGGAGTTGGAAGTTTACCAAAGCCTACTAACCCAGCTGTGTGGAAAATATTTCTGATTCACTGCATGTTTGTCTGTATATGCTGTAAACCTTTTTTGTTGTGTCTTTCATGTCAACACTCATTTGGTGGATTGCATGGTCACCGCTGACATGTCGGTTGGTGCTGGTTGCTCCATGTCGTCCCTCTGTTCAGAATGCGCTGTCTCGCTCCTATAATTCCAATAACACTCCGCTGAACTGGTCTCACTACGGCAGCTGTAGGGATATGCATGCCAGCCAAGGGTCTCTGGTCTTTAGTGCCAGGGACGGACAGCCCTACGGAGCTCTTGGCTTCTGTGTGAGTACTGTCAACTTGAAGTTAGCTCCTGCGGCTCATACTAAGCCAGGGCTTCCAGTTTCTGGTAGTTTCACATCCTTTTAGAAGATAAGAAATGTCTGTTTCCTTCTCTCCTTGATGTTGAGAAGTGATCACTGACCCTCAACCATCTTTCACTTGTCCTTTTATAGGCAAGTGAAAGCATGTCTTCTAACGTCTGATTCTCTCACAACCACAAACCCTGTCTGGCACATAGCGAAATGTGTAGATTCTAAAAATAAATTTGTGTAGCCCCTCTTAGTATAATGCAGTTTGACTTCTTTTAAAAGGGGGGCCTACTTGTTTTGTACCATCATTCAATAGCTTTAGTGGCTTTACTGCCTGCATGATAGGATCACATCTATACAACTTAAATCTGATTTGCTCATGACTGCTACAGAGCCTTAGCTAATTTAGAGATTATTTAAAATCTGCTGAAATTACTTCCTTGCAAAATGTATAGGTGGTGGTTGTTGTTATTTGTAACTAATACATCTTATTCAAGTAATGAAGAAGAAAAGTGTTTGTCATTTGGCATTCACAGCAGGTCTGTATTTTCTTTGAATCCAGCTGGAAATGTCACCCTAAACTGTTATGCAACCACCTTGTTTGAGAAAATTAAGCCTTTTCAGGCCAGTAAAGAGAATCGGCATTAATTTATGTCCACGTTAATAATCAGATATGTAATACGACATATCATGTGTGGTATGAAACACCCCCTTTTAAACCTGCCAGGTTCTTTACCATCGTAATCAGCATCCCAGTTTGCATTATCCCTCCACCATGCCACACTCCAATCAGTGATTGTCGTCTCCTTTGACTGCACTTTCAAGCTTTATTTTGCTCGTTCATCATCTTCACTTTAACTTTCAATCACTTCAGAATCACTTCATAACCTCTCACATTGTGTGTGATGAAAACAGTGTTTGCAAAAGGTAAGTGTGTGTGTGTGTGTGTGTGTGTGTGTGTGATTTAGAAAGTGGGTATTTGTATCTGTAGAGGAGGAAAAAGGGCTTTTGCACTGTCTAAAGATTTGAGTGTTGTCACCCCTTCCCTACTTAACATTTAAGATTCACTTTATCTCCAGCAAGCTTATATTCCGAATTACATGCTGCTTAGTGACTGAATAGAAACTAAGCACAGTTTAATGCAAGTTTTTCATCATTTTAATCAGATGGTGTCCTTTTCCTCTCTTCTGAAGCATCACTTCACTGCCTAATGTCATTACCAGACATGAAAAATGTTGATGTCAGTGTCTTAATTGTCGATTACCCCTTGTTGTAAATGAGTTTCATTGCAGTGAGTTTTGGGAACCGTGTTAATATCCTCACTTTCTTCCTATTCAGGATGATGTGTTTAGTCCCCAAGGGCAGCAGAGCTACACCTTGGACCACAGAAAAGTAGGTGGAATTCATACAGACTTTTAGCTGCATAGTAAAAATGTGGCTGTTAAAATGGAAAAGGAGCTGGAAAAGTATTTAGATCTGCAGAAGTTGCTTTGCATTTCTCCATGATGCTTCAGGGCTTTGCAGAGGTCATTATGTTGACTCAGAGCCACAACAACAACTTCTGTTCATCATGATGTCTTTTTGTTTCCTAGGTGCCTTTGATGAATGGTCAGATGGGCCCTTCTGTTCGTCCTCAGATGAGCCAGGCGCCCATGGCTCGCCACCCTTCCAGAGAGCAGCTCATTGATTATCTGATGCTCAAAGTCTCCCATCAGCCTCAGGGGCCTCCACGCATCCCACATGACACACTGCAAGAGGTGAAGGATGGTGTTTGTGGGAAGAAAAAAAAGTGCTAAGAAGAATTAGATTTTGAGGATATTCTCAGTTAGATGAGAATAGATGTCTGTTCGATATGAAGCAACTTGCCGAGTTGAAACTCCCAAGTGCAAATGCCTGCACATGAATCCCTGTAAAACTGTTAAGCAAACAAGATATGTTTTTAATTGGAGAACTTAAGAGATTCTGGTAGATGGATTTTGTTAAATTTGAACAGAGCCAGGCTAACGGTTTCCAGCATTATGCTAAACTAAGCTAACCACCTGCTGGCTGTAACTTCATATTGAACAGATATATAAAAGTGGTATTGATCTTCTCACATAACTATTTGTGGAAATAACAAAGAAGAAAGTTCTACTATTCCTTTACACGGAATTTAAAGTCTCCGAAACGTAGGTGGGAAGAATCCGATATTCTTGGTCATTCACCAGAATTTTTGTCAATATCTGTAATATATAGCTGGCAAGCGAGTTTAAAAAATGTGCTGTTCCTAACTTCCTTACTGTGGGTTTTCAAGACTAATGTACATGTGTGAATATTGTGTAATAACTGTGATTAAATGGCTAATGAAAGTATGTGGGTGTGTTTCAGATCCGTGTGAAAGTGGAGAAGAATCCAGAGCTGGGTTTCAGTATATCAGGAGGAGTGGGAGGCCGGGGAAATCCCTTTCGTCCAGATGACAATGTGATTTAATTTTTTTTAATAGTACCAGACTTATAAGAGCGCCTTTCATAATATTTGTATTAATTTCACTGAATTGTGTCCTCAGTTGTGCTGTACACATACAGAATCATACAGAACAACTTGGTTTATCTTAATATGTATAATTAAATATTTTCCATATCATCTCAGGGTATATTTGTGACAAGGGTTCAACCTGAGGGACCAGCATCCAAGATTCTTCAGCCTGGAGATAAAATTATCCAGGTATTCTGCTGTCCAACTAATCACAAAAACTGTGACAAGAGCTGTGTGATATATTGTGCAATATATATTTTTTTGCTTAACCAGCTGTCTTTTCTTACAGGTAAATGGATACAGCTTTGTGAATATCGATCACGGGAATGCAGTGGCCCTCCTGAAGACATTTCCAAACACTGTGGATTTGACTATCATAAGAGAAATGCAAGCATAGACTCAACTGAAACTGACCTCTGGAGAGGGGGGGACATACGAGAGACGAACAGAGAAATTTATGTGGACTCTCATATTTTTATACACAGAGGAGACTGATCTGTTGATACCTGTTGGGACTATTTATAGTAGAGATCTTCATAGCCTTGATTGAACGGGGAAAACCACTGAATGTAGTGGATCAAAATGAGACGGCGGCAAACCTCTGCAAGTACGAGTCCTCAAAAGGCCATCACTGTGGTATATATATTTTTATACAAAAGAAGCGGAAGCTATGACCTGCTCTGAAGCAAATAATTACTGTGGTCCTTTTTTTTTTTTTTTTTTTTTTTTTTTGTCTAAAACTCATAAATCCTCATAATTAGGTTTTATTTCTCCGGTTTGACATAAATTGACCACTCGGGGGCAGGGCTGCCCTTTTCTGTCATCCACTTTGCCTTTTCTTTTTGTTTTTTACTTTTTATGTAAGATGTTGAAACCATTTTCTGGTGTGCCGTGCGATATTACATGGAGGACAATGTTACGTGCTTTTCATGTGAAGACGAATGTAGATCAAGGAAATGTTTTGATTTTGTTTTTATGGAGAGACATTTTAAGTTTCTGCGAATTCGGAGAGTTGAGAAGAGCACATCATCCCTCTCTGCTTCCATAAACCATAAACACCTTCCATCGTACGCGACACTTTTGTCCTCAGATCCTCCCAAATATCCTCAAAGCAATTGCTCGGCATATCACCTAACTAGACCACTACCTGTGCTGTGTGTGTGTGTGTTGGGAGGGGAGGGGTTCCTTTTCAGCTTTTCAGAGATTGAAGAAATGCAGTTAATGAGATTTAAAGGAAATTTAAATATCGGGGAAATAGGAGTGGAGAGCTATAGTATGTGTTTGCTCAGCCTTAATCTGTTTCGCAAGTCAGAAGCTGCTGTTTAAAGCGAAGTTTTGACATTTTGGGAAATAGGGTTAATTCACGGCTGCACGCAAGTTGATGCTCTAGCAGTAAGCTAACTGGCACATAGAATAGAAACATAAAGGAACGGCTAACTGACTCTGTCAAAGGTAACAAAATCCACCTACCAGCACCTCTAAAGCTCACTAATTAAAATATATGTAGTTTGGTTAACACTTTTTACAGGAGTTAACTTATGCCAGACTTCCTGAAATCTTTGGACAGATCAAGCTTGTTAGCCGTGTTCCCCAGTTTCCAGTCTTTGCGCTAACCTAAGCTAACATTAGCAAACTGCTAACGGAAAGGTAGCTATCAATCTTCTCCACTTCTCTTAATTTTTACCGCCATAAAGTGAATACCCGTATTTCCCCAAATGTCAAAACTATTCCTTTAAGCAGAGAAACATATTGGCGGTTATGCTAGTTAACCAAAGCCAAGTTTGGAAAATGTGGACAGAAGGCAAAAGCAGGAGACAACTTAAGAAAGAGATTTGAATAAGGACAGGTCAATGTTTCACATGTGTTTTTCATTTTTTATTTTTAAGGGCTTCATCGTTCAGGCAGCCATTGGTGAGATGAGTGTTTGTATCGCAGAGGTTTCAACATCTGGCAGTTTTATTTTTTACATGGGAGAAGACCACAGTTTGCCTTTTTGTGTCTTTAAAAATGTTTTATCATGCTTTTATCATCACTTTGGAGCAGTTTCCCATTTCTTTTTTTCCTCGCTGTACAGAGTGGATTTGGGAGAAGCAAGTTGTCAAGTGCCATAGACCTTGAACTGTTTGAATAGGGGAGGACCTTTGACCCCAGAGCCCAAGCAATATTCACCACATTCTGAGTACATTTGCAGCATATTGACCTAAAAGCAATATTTAAAGCCTTTATTTTCATTCAGAAAAACATCAGATAACATTTTTTAAAAACACAACCTTTTAGTAATCCCTGACGATTTTACATGATTTTATATTGTGAAAATAATCTTTTTTTGTAATGAAATAGCACAGGAAATATATATGGTAGTGCTAAAAAAAAAAGCAAAATTTCTCTGCATTGTGTAAAAGTGAATGTTTGTGTCACTTTGCTCAAGGCTTCTTACTGTTTGTTGCTTACATTACCATAACTCCTGATGTTCATCTGTGCAAAATAATCAACGCTGAAAAACGAATCCAGTCAAAGCTGCATCTCAAAACATTCCTAATGTTTGTCAAATAGTGTCAGAGGGAAAAATGTGGGTTTTTTACGTCCACATCATGTGATCAAATGTTCTGCTCCTCTCCTTTTTATATTCTTTCACTTGTAAATAACTATTCAGTGAGACGTATTTCTAAATGAAATGGAAATGATAAAGTTCACATACTAAGTAATGGCCCATAAATTCTAACGGCATATTTGTGACCACTGAATTGTTTGTAAAATATATAATAGCATTTGATCGTACAATGTTTCAGCAAATGGCATTCTCTCAACTTGTTTACAGTAGATTGTGTCGTCTACTGTACTCTTCCTGTACGTAGTGAAGTTTGACCCATATGTTGTGCTCGTGGCACTGTCCAACAAAAATGAAAACACTTGTAAGTCACTAATTTAAATATCCCATTTAATGATAATAGCCATGCTATTTTAAAGGTAGCTATTCTAAGTGAAGCTGTGCCCTTCATTTTTAAGCTGAATCTAAAATTGGTACATTGTATTTACAGGCAAATGCCAATAATGTTTGTTCTGTGAGAAATTTGGGAAACATATAGTGTTTTACACAGATGAATTGTTTTTATTAATTGTATTAATTTTGTTGGTGATTTGTTTACTTTCTAAGAGTAGGGGGAAACATTTCTGGGGTAATGGTCACTTTATATTCACAGCAAAAACATGCCGTCTGACATTGTAGACAATCTTGGGAGATAAAACATGTCACATTTTCTTCATCCATTGTCGGTCTGTTCCTTATGCTCCTTTTATTGTTCTTATTTATTTAGCAGTCTTCTGTGGTTTTTAGACCTTACTAATCAAATTGTAAATACTCTAAATTGAGAAAAGAATTAATCATGGCATTAGTGACTTGCGATTGTAAAACCAGCAATAAATTGCAATGCAGAGGCACCTGTTTTAATGTATAGGTAGTATTTCTAAGGTTTCTCTGGAAACAGCCACAGTGATGATATGCATTTATCCAACATTCCAGATTTTGTACATAATTACCTGTTTCTGAAGTAACCTGTGGACAATAAAACTAATGCTCTTTAAAAAGGATTTGTTTGTCTTCATTTCATCCCCTGGGTTTATCTTTTTAACCCGAGCGGTAAATAAAAAAGACTGTACACACAGTAGAAATGCACAGTCCAAGGTACAGGACAACTTGCCTACGTGTGTTTCGCCTGAACTGGTTACAGTATGGGAGATTGTATACAGTGATTCGATTAGGAGTATAGCATTACTGGTAAATAATGGTGCTGTTTATTGTGAGTACTACCTGCAATAATATGCCTATAAGTTTAGTAAAAGCAAAAGCTCCAGAGGTTTTCAGAACAGACATTTAAGCATCAAGAGCGTGTACAAACTCTTCCTGCCTGTTTCTTCAACCTGGTGTTGTCTTTTGTTACTTCACATTGTTGAAGGTGCTTCTGTTTTAGATTGTGAAATCTGTGTTCCAACAAGCTTCCTCTGTCTTCTCCCACAACAGTCAAGTTTCCATCAAAATTTCTCTCAAAGTTTTATGTATATTTGAATTTTTGGCAAAAAGAACTGGTGGAAACAGCGATCTGTCAAAAGCTGAGCATGAGAGAGGTTGCCAGCTACAGAGGACAAACCTTTTTGGTTTTTGTAAGAGGCCTCTGGCGCCACCCTCAGGCCAAACTTTACTTTTTTTTTGTTTGTTTGTTTTTTTGCCTTGTAGAATCCAAGAAAAGCAATGTTTTTTTCCTCCATGTTTCATCCTTAAAGTGTTTTTTGTGTGTAATGATAATTACATCCTCACATGGCTGCCTGCATGGCTATACACTTTTAGTTGGATTCTCAGTGTGGAGGAAGCATGAATTTTTGTTTCAAACAAACCCAAAGTAATGATGAACAAACACAGGATCATAATAAGCGAAATGTATCATAGGGATATATGTACATTCAATTTCTAAATGTCCTGATACTGTTCCCTCATAGTTTGTGTTGATAGAAAGGACACCCATATTTTGCAGTGACTGAAGCCCTAACGTTCCTCCTCTCCTTTCTGAAATGCCAATGTGATCATCTTCTTACTCCTCTAATCTTAGATTGTTTCTGTTGGATATGTAGCAATGCTTTAATATGTATATGGACTGATTTAAGTTTGGGGTTTTACAAAGTCATACAGATGATATGCCTGCGTGTTGAAAGGGCTCCTGGTGGTAAAATTGTTTTAAAAAGCTGAACACCGCTGAAGTTAAAGAAAAGCTCACAAAACACAGCGTCACTTTAGATTTCTGAGTGTTTTACTGAATGCAACACCAAACCAGCTCAGTTGAGAAAGTAGGGTGACAAAGTGCCCAGCGGACTACTGTGAGGCTAGCTTTGTGTGGTTTTGTGTGACACCCTCTCTCAGGGGACCCCTGACTGCCAAAGACACAAGAGGAGTCCCACCCTGTGATGTTGAACACAATACATATGTTTGTGCTCTTTGCATTGTATTAGAAGTATAAAAAGTATTAGAAAATATAAAACAAATTCAAAAGGTATCAATTTAAAGTTTATTTCCCCATGTCTGCTGTCAGCATCAATATCTAAAATGATAAAGGACTATTAAGTGTAGGCCTAAACTAAATCAACTCTAATATTCTATATTAGTAGAAAACATATATTACACTCACTGTCGCAGAAGTTTAATATATTTAAAGAAATTAGCTATATGAAATATCATCTGCATATGTCAGCGTTCGATATCTCTATTGCAAATTTTTTAATCTTCATAAGACACTTACTTAGAAACACTGAGGAGCGCTGATCTCCAGCTCGTCCTGTGGTTAGCCGTCGTTCTGTTCGGGTCAGGTTCAAACTTTTCTTGTCAAGGTAAACTTGGATGTACAGCAGGAACACTGAGCCTCTGTAAAATAAATGAATGAATAAACATTACTTAAAGTACAATAGAGAGAGTAAGATTTATCATCATTTGAATTTAATATTAAGACTTACAGGAAACATCTATTAATTTTGGCATTAATTATTACCATACCTCTGCCTGCTCTCCAGCTTGTCCTGTGGGTCAGATGTCAGCATTTCATCTTTGTTGTCAAGAAACCCTGTGGGAACTGCAGGAACACTGGGTCAATCAGAGCGCTAACTTCACAGCACACACTAATGCAGTCGATTACAAGAAAAGGGACTTTTCATCCCTTTACTGAAAGGTACAATAGTCCCCCTTTAACAGGAAGAGAGGAAGATCGTTATAGATCAATAAAACATGCATTGATTACAATCAGTTGATAATTGCAAAACAGCAGATTGGGACCGATTGGGACTCAGGTCGCATAACAGCATAAGATCATCATTTTGATGACTTTGAGTGAAGTGCATTAACAAAAAGTCATTTATGCATTTGCCCTGCTAGATGCAAAGACTCATATTTACCATTTAGTCCACAGGGAACTGTAGCAGCTCAGGTGGTAGAGCACAATAGAAGAGAACAAGTGATGATATGTGTATAAATGAGAGCACACAGAATGTTAGCTAGTTTAAACAGTACATCTGCTGTCCTTATTCATCCACAGTTAATGGCAGCAGCTCCGATGGTGGAGTATGAAAAGAGAAGAAAGAGATAATGGTCAGTAAGACAAATAATATTTTATTTCATGAATAAGTGATATTACAAGGATAACCGTAAAATAACGTGACTTTCTCTGGCTTTATATGTTAGCTTGTTGAAGTCAGAAGCTCGTACTCACCTTTTCCAACCACAGTGAACGATTGCAGCTCAGGTGGTCGAGTAAGATAAAAGTAGAGGAAGACAGATAATGGTTAGTAAGATGACTAGTCTCTCAATCACAAAATAATGAATATGATATAAATAGTGATAACCTTGATTTTTTTAATTAGGGATAATATATACTGTATAGCTAAACAGGAGCAGCATATGCAATAGATTATTTTTACTTCAGGTCAGAAGCTCGTACTCACTTTTTTTCCCCCTTGGTGAACAGCAGCAGCTCAGGTGATGGAGGAAGATAAAAGTGAAATAATATAGAAAAACAATAGTAAGACTATCTTTGAATTATGGATAAATTATACTATTTGAATAAACAGGATTTGAGTTTGATTCTGATTCTAAGTCACTTGTTTACAATCCAAAGACTTATGCTTACCTTTTTTGTCGAGTTGAGCCAATGGCAGGAGTAGTAGAAGTTATCCAAACATTTTTATACCTCTGGAGAATATTGATACTGGAGCATACTATAGTGCTTTGTCTTATGTTTCTTCATTGCAGCTTCTTCTCTCTCTCTCTACATGATCAAGCTAGGGGTTCATGTCCTGCCAGGCGTGAAGGCTCCATGCACGAGGTGTCGACAGCCCTCCTAGACACGAGGGCTTCCTGGGGCAACACTGGCCCTGCCAGACGCAAAGGGCGGTCCACAGGATGAAAGAAAGGTCGATCCAGCCACCGTGCCAAAAATGAGTTGGTGGTGTAAAAGAGTCCAGTGCAAGACGCTACCTGGGATGTTGATAGCCCTGCAAGACGCAAAGGCTACCTGGGGCTTTGGTTGCCCAGCCAGACGCTAAGGCCAGCCCTCAGGAGTAAAAAAGGGTCAATCCATCTACCCTGCCAACATGATATACACAGATCCCAGTGCAAGACGCTAGCTGGGATATTGATAGCCCTGCAAGACGCAAAGGCTACCTGGGGCTTTGGTTGCCCAGCCAAGGAGTAAAAAAGGGTCAATCCATCAACCCTGCCAACATGATATACACAGATCCCAGTGCAAGACGCTAGCTGGGTTGTCACCAGCCTTGCCAGAAGCAGAGGCTACCTTGGGAATCACTGGTCCTGCCAGACGTGAAGGCCAGTCTGCATCCATCCCACCAGATGTCCTGGTGTGGTGAAGTTCTTGATAGCTGTGATTTGGCAGTGATGAAGGACCAATGTGTGATTTCTCTGATGTCCTGTAGTCCTGTAGCTCATTATAGAGTCAATCTGAGTGACTCTCTTTAGACCACCGTGGCCTTTTAGCAGCAGCCTCCTCCCCGTCGCTCTCTTCTCTGCGCCTCCTTGTGCGGGAGCTGAGGCCAGAAGCTGAGGGTGAGTCCTTCTCAAAAGAATCTTCCACGGTGAGTGGCCCCATGTCCTCAACATCAAGTTCAGGAATCCTAATCCCTTCTTCATCTTCAATTTCAACGACGTCAATCTCAGAGTCCTCGTCCTCTTCGGGCTGCCCGTGTCGGTACCTGGCAATCAGCTCCTCAAGAGCTTCATGATGCTCAACGGGAGGAACAGGGTCAGGGACCGGGTGAGGATCAGGAAACGCAGGAGCAGCAGGAGGAAACGGAGGAGCAGGAAAAGGAAAAGCAGGAGCAGCATGAGGAAATGCATAAGGATAAGCAGGAAGAAATGCAGGATCATCATAAGGAAAAGCATGAGCGTAAGGAACAGGATGCGGAACAGCAACAGGAACAGCAACAGGAACAGCAAAAGGAACAGCAACAGGAACAGCAACAGGAACAGCAACAGGAACAGCAAAAGGAACAGCAACAGGAACAGCAACAGGAACAGCAACAGGAACAGCATAGGGAGCAGGGTAGTAAAGAGGAAAAGGAACAGCAGGACCTTGTTGTGGTGGAACCTGCCGGAGTGGAGGAGAAGGAGGTCTGGCATTTTCTTCAGCATTATGATTCAACTCTCTATTACCTTCACGAGGCTCAACCTCAGCCTCCTGAAGCCCGTCCAGCCCGACAACGTCAATCTCTTCTTCCTCTTCCTGGTCATCAGTGGGGACTGGATCATCAGGAGGCATTTCAGCATCAGAGCGTTCATTACCCAAACGCCAAAAGGAGCCACCTGAGGAAGAAAAAAAAGTATAAAAAGTCACTTAAGGCTTAAAGGCCTAGTTAATATTTTTGGGCCATGTACATTTCTGTTATATTCCCAAATATTTACGCTAATTGTACTGCTCCAGATGCATTAAAAGTACTTTGTAGAAAAACAAAGCACTGAGCATAATGTTCCTCTTTATCACAAATTTAAATGTAGTCAGAACAATAGCCTACAATTCTGTCACACTGCATCATATCTGAGCTGGATTAAAGAAAAATTACAGTGATTTGGTGGGAACCAGTGGTTCTAACACTATTCAGTGATTTTTCATGGCATTAAGGGGACAGTGGGTTTCTAACAGGGTGTCACTCCGTCCGGGATTTCCTAGTTTGCAAGAATCTGTGTAAAACTGTGTAGCCAAAATGTTTGACATGCACACAACTGCATGCGCCTTTACGCACGCCAAACGGTCGGCACCCCGATTAAAGCATGCACATCAAACAGGACATCTTCAAAATTACCACACAAACACCTGTGCTTCTTGGCATGGCAAACGCGTTGCTTATATTTGGTTACACTCCCAATTTGTGAGTTGCAAGTCATGCGGCGTGGAGGATTCGGTGGCATCTTGGACGCAGAACGCGCACAGTGACTGCATGACAAACAACTCTCATCTCTTCCCTTGATATAAAAATACCACACGACCCAACAAAGCATGTTCCGATGTTATGACAGGACTGACATATATATTACAAGCTCTAGTGATGACTGAAAACAAAAGCTTTGGGTGTGGGTCCCATTACTATCCGACCGTTAACGTTAGTGTTGTTCGTCTTCATTCAGGCTCATCACAGTACTGATCTGTTCCGGTGCATTTTTAAGGAATGTCAGAAAATGTGTTCACACATATGACAAACTTAAAAGGACCCGATGATCCGACAACAGCTCCGGAGTCATTTTAAACTAAACTTTCAATCATTCAAACGAGCAAATTCAAATATCCACATAAGGGAACGGACCCTGGTTTGTTCCCGCCTGCGCGTTCTGGCGTTCTGACACGTGCTCGTAAAAGTTCCTTCGTCTCCACGGTGCACAACAAAAACATATTGTTCGGCATTTTTCGGAAGATGGCCCAGTGGACATATTTTTTCCTATTTTTTTATGACAAATTTGAAAAATGTAATGCCCTCAAACAAAAATAACAATATTTTCAAATCACAGCCAACACATTCCTCACCTTTGCCGGGATATTCATCTATATTCTACCATCTAATAAAAACTGTGTTTTCTTAACAGGCCAACTAAAATTCCATATCTTTATATTTAACAAGAAACCTTTATTAAATACAAATGCGCTGAAAACCCCTTTTAATTATTTCAGGAAGATTAATAAATAAATATGGCATAAAAGATGTCTCACCTGCAAACGAAAGGATCCACCGTCTGACTCTGGTCAGCAGGTGCTCCTCCACAGGGGGTCCATTAAAAGCCATATTTCAGCCGGTAGGTTTTGCTGTAGTTTTCCTCAAGGTTCAGCTCAGTTATACAACCCAAGAGTTCAACTTTCCAGCAAACAGGTTTAATTCAGGTTAAATGGTGTCAAGTCCAAGTGCAAATGAGAAATAAAAAAGCCCTAAAGCCCTAACATGACCTTGGTCAAACGTCACCGTTGTTTCCATGGCTTTAACTGACGCACGTGCATGCGTGTGCGTGAAGGAGTAAGATGGATTAGTTATCTGTTTATTTATTTTATTTATTTAACTTCATGTATTGAATTGTTCTTTTGTATTTTCCTTGAAGCTTTGGCAAATCTGTTCTATTATCAATCATGCCAATAAAGGAAATTTGAATTAGATTACATACAGTAAGGGATGATAGATGATGATGATGGATTAATCATGTTATATTCAAGTGTAAACTTTTTCATTTTGAAACTGCTTTGGCAACATGTTTTAAATGAAACATTCATGCCAATAAAGCACACTGAACTGAACTGATATGTAGTAAACGTGTGTGTGTACAGCAGGTGTTTCCATAGATAAGTGATGTGTATGATCTTTCATTGGCTCAATGGACGGACAGAAACTCCCTGATGTATCACCATAATGATAAACACACAGCCAGGTCACTACAATATCTTGACTCAGAGCAACAACAAGGTTTTTCTAAACTGAGTGAACTGTGAATCAGTGCATGCTTTCATCAACAATGAGAATATACAGTCCCAGACAACTGTGAGGGAAGAATTAATAAAGCTCCATTTATTCATCATCGCATTTCATTGCTGCTTCGAAGGCATCTTTTTTATTTATTGAATTAATTTGTCTCTACTGATCCTCATGGTCCCTGTGGTGCTTTTATTTGTCACTGGGATGATAAAGCGGAGCTGATCTGTGGTCATATGGGAGTATGGAAATGTACATTACTGAAGCACAATATCAACTCACATGTATGTTTTTAAGAGGGGCCCTATATGAAAAGTTGGTTCAAAGACCTTGATTACTTGAGCTACTGTTGTGCTTACATGATGCATATTCCTAAATTAATTTGTGTTTAATGAAATTACCACACAGAGAATATGGGGTCAGCTTAGGAAGACTGGACACATTAGAAATACTGCAGCTCATTTTTGCCCCAAGATGTCCTTGCAGGTACATCTGGCCATGCCTACAGGTGTATTCTTTATTTTCAGTCTCCTGAAAGTGGAAAAAAAAGTCACGCAAAAGTGGCTGAGTGGCTTTGGTCTACAGCAGAAGAAGCAGATACAGCAATGTCAACATGTGAGAACAAAATGTTTCCACAAGCATCTCTTTTTCTATTTGTCAACCTCTCCACTGCAGCCAAATGTAAACATATTTTCCATAGTTTGGCTTTTTAAACAAATTTCTGATGTTTCCACTGTTACTTATTTGTTTTGCATGAATTGCTTTCTTGTTTTGAATAAAATACTTCACACTATTTTTTATTTACTTGAAGTTTGGGGTCCTCAGATGCTGTATCAATCAAAAAACAATTAACACTCCACTCAGATGGAAGTGTTGCGATGCCTTGAAGCAACACAATTATGATTCTTCAGAGATTTATTTTATTTTTTTAACTCATCTTGATTTAAAGGTGTTTAATAGTCTAATGGATCTGACCCTTTTCTGGCACTGTGCCACTTATTGCTCTGTTACCTGAAAGGCTTCACCCCAAAATGCAACATTATTCCCACTTCAGCTCCTCATTTGTATCAGAAACATGTCAGACAGCCTCTTACAACATGTAAAAATGTAAATATTTGTAAATGTTGAGGCTGTGAGGTTAAAAAGACTTTCAGTTGCCTCAGGCAATGACATGCAGAAGATAAGGCTTAAGCTTTTGCTTTCATGTAACTTATTTAAAGGGACCAACCTACTGAATATATTTTATTTCCAGTGGTGAAAGAAGTAATCAGATCTTTCATTAGGTAGAAGAAACAATAACACCGTGTAGAAATACTTACAAGTAAGAGTCCTGTTTTCAAAATTAGTAAGTAAGTAAAAGTAAAGTGCAAAAGTGTCAGCATCAAAATATACTTCAACTACCAAAAGTAAAAGCTGTCATTGTGCAGAATGGCCAATTTCAGAATAAGATATATTTTATTTAAATTTCACACACGTAGATACCAAAAACATTAAGGACATATTAAAAAGAACAAATACATGTGAGGGTGTGATAGAAGCCTATAATGGCTTATATGTATAACCAGGGTGCAATTTGCCAGGGTGGATTTCCCCCTTTCTGGTTTAGGCCTATATCTGCCTCTGCTGAATAATTATTATCTCCGGTGGGGACAAAATTTACCCCCCCCCAATCAATGCTACTTCATTAGTGCTGCAACTGATCACAAAACTCATGGAACGGATCAATTTGTTAGGGTTTTCATTTATTTTGAAATGCGCTACTTTGGCTCTGATCCAGCTGCCTCTCTTTTGTCTGTAAGCAACTACTACTCTGTAGTAAACAGTGGGAGAACATTTTTTAAACATTGCAACCAATCCACAGTTCACTTGCAGGGTGGTGGGGGTGTTTTTATGATTTTTTACACAAATCGTATAACCATACCCAGAAGACATAAGGTAATATACAAAATCACAAATACATTTTAAATATTAGTAATGATATAAATTACAACACACTAGGCCTACTGGGTAACTTGTGAACACCCCACCCTAATAAAGCTGTAACTTATAACCTATAATAATACATCATAATGTATTTTTATTTGTTATATTTTGTATTATTAATCTGAAAAGCAATTAAAATTATCAAATAAATGTAGAGGGGTTCAAGTGCAAAATTGGCACGTGGCATTTAGCCTAGTGGAGTAAAAGTATAAAGTAGCAGAAAATGGATATACTCAAGTAAAGTACCTCAAAACTGTACACGTATAGTACTTCAGAAAATGTACTTCCCAACACTGTTTATTTCTTTCTCCATGGGGTCAACACCGCACATGTGTTTTGGTCCAGACTTGAGGCTCTGTTAGTAATGTACTGTCCAACACTGTAGGGGGCGGTAGTGCACCTCTACGTCTTGTTAAAACATAAGAGGAAGCCAGTGACACCTCTCGCTCCGCCCGCCTGGATGTACTGTAACGTAGCGTTGCGCCGAGCGGGGTGACAGAGAAATAAATATTGTATAAATACAGATTGTCCACGCATATATCGGTTTGCTCAAATGAGCGGGATACCAGGGACTGCTGTGGTCCAGGTCACCAACCTGTCCTCGGCCGTGAGCAGCGAGCAGATGCGCACGCTGTTCGGTTTCTTGGGAGACATCGAGGAGCTGCGACTCTACCCGCCCGAGTAAGAGCAACCTTCCCCGGCATGGCTAGCCAGGCAAAACCGCGGCTCTGCGACCTGTCTGCGATCCACAGAAACATTAAAATGAAGAAGTAATGAGTGTAATAAAATAACTAACCCCACTTTTTTTCTGTTTGTCTTTCCCTTTCACAGCAATGCCCATCTGTCTTTCTCGTCCAAAGTGTGTTATATAAAGTATCGAGACCCCTCCAGTGTTGGTGTGGCGCAACATCTCACCAATACTGTTTTTGTTGACAGAGCTTTGATAGTAGTGCCATGTGCGGAAGGTGAGTGCAACCCGCTTCGTTCAAAAGAAATAAAAATGAAATGTCTGAGTTGCCTCAGTGGACCTGCTATGGCCTCCTCCCCTTGAATCCAACCTTTTGGTGTTTTGGTTGAATTCCGGGTTGTTGTTTTTGTTTTTGTTTTTTTTATTCACATGCAATTGGCAAGTCGTGCCATTGGCTAGTTCACTTTTGTCACGAGTATTTTATACACAGGTGATGGGTGATATCACTTCACTAAAACCCTAGTTAACTAATTTCTTAAAGCGCCCAGCCAAGGTTTGCGTTTGGTGTCATTGTTGACAACATTAACGTTAGAGCTGTGTTTTTGAAGACACTGCATTATTTAGGTTAACCTCGCTGTAAACACTGGGTTCTCTGGAAGCAAGTGTATTTCTCATTAGAAACTGCCATTAATGTTACTTGTTTCGTGGAAATGACAAAATATCTCCATGGCAACACAGCTAACTTAATCCCCTTTCTTTCTCTTTCATATTTTGGTGCTCCTTTTCTTTAAACCTCCCTCCCCTTTGGTGCCACTGTTGTTCCCTTGTGTACAGTCAAAAATGATATCACCTCTAACTTGATGCTTTTTGTCCACGTGACTTAGTGCTGGATGGCTACTGAGTTTATTAATTTGGTTTTGTATGTTTTTTCTGTGTGATTATGTGTGCATATCAGATGACTAGACTGGCCCAGCTGTTACACTACACTAGCCTGAGTCAGGCATTGTTTTCCAAGCCACTATCCCCGATCGGGCCAACGCAGCCTTCAAGGGGGAATGTGACCAGGAGAATAGCCTGCTGAACCTTCCAAGATGGACACCTTGTCTCTTTTTATTTATTTTTCTTTTCTTTTGGTTTGTTTCCTTTCATACTTTCCCATGTTGTCCACTTTCTACTGTCTCTATCTAGAAACTACAGTATTGCTTATCTCTAGCGTTGTGTTTATATTTGTTATTTTGGTTTGTTGTTTTGATTATTGTCCAACCCCCACCCCCCCTCTCTCTTTCTGCTACAGCTGCAGCTTGTGTGTGATTGAATTCTGTCCAGGTTGCTACGGCATACCGGTGGGATGTGTATCACACATGGGATGCTAGGAGGATCACTAACACTTTACTCTCTTGTCACCTACTCCTGTTGACATAGGGAGGGGCTAGACATTAAAAAAGTGAGACCCAGTAATAAAAACTATATCTCATTTGAACATAGAATTTTTTATATTCTATTTGCACTTTTCATCTGTGATGAAATCTGTAGTACAGGGCAACATCTACGAGTTTCCCCTCACATTACAGGCCTGAAATGGATGTTCAGTATTTAAAAATACACAAACATTCTCCATTCAACATTATTCTCTCTTTTTAACGTGGAAATTCGTTACACATGCATTAATTCTTTGCGTCGTTATTTGTTTTGAGATATATTGCCTAGCACTAGAAGAGTTTTCCGTGTTAGACCAATGGTAATTCATGCTCAGTGCCTCCAGCTGTAATGAACTGAATTTGTAGTTATTTTGCCTTTGATCAGTCTTAACGTAGCCCCCTTCTGCAGCAATAGAAGCAGCAGATTTTAATCCAGTGTGGAATCAGCTAAATTTCTAATTGGTTGTTTTTTTTTTGTAGCTAAGTCTTGGCTAACATTTCCTACAGTTCTTAAAATTGTTGTTCTTCTCTGTATCTGATGTCCTGTGTGCTATTAGTGATGCAGCCATTGGGGTTGTCTTGTGTTGCACACCTTTCCAACACTGCGAAACGATCGCCCCACGGAAAAGCGCCCATGCTTGATATCGTATGGTTCATGACCAATATGTTTCCAGTACAGGTGACCCATGCATCAAAGTGTTGACTCATACTCTGCATTGTGTTTCTTTCTTTTTCTTTTTTGATCTATGAAAAGAGACCAAGGACAAAAATCAGTGTTCTAGTGTTTTGTGAAAAAAAAACAAGTTAAGATTTTTTTTTTTTTCATTGAAAATACTAATTCAGATTGACTGAGAAGAATAATTTCATAAAAGCAAAGTAAGGGTGCTCGGTCTCCAGTATACCATGAGTAGACAGTAGAACACTTGTAGGCTGTATGGGGAAGTGTATGCTCTCTTTCTCTCTAGAATACAGTGGGCTAATTGTGCAGACATAGAGGAGACAGAGGGAAGAGTCCCACTATTGCCTTCACTAATATCTGCTTCTGTCCTGCAGGGAAAATCCCAGAGGAGGCCAAGGCATTGTCACTTTTGGCACCTGCCACCCCAGTGCCCAGTCTGATTCCTGGTGGGGGGCTGCTACCAATCCCTACTCCAGCTCCGCTCCAGAATGTGAGTCAGCATCTCGTAGCCCTCTTGTTGTCAGTTTGTCTGTCATGTAAGTAAAATATAGGTGTGTGTGTGTTTCACACCTGCAGCTGAACCTTCCCATAGTGAATCGTTTGTCAGCTAGTCTGGACTCCGCAGCGTCAGTGCAGGCTCAGCCCCCCCTCATGGGAAATGTGGATCCCTCAAAGATTGATGAGATCCGGAGGACCGTCTATGTTGGCAACTTGAACTCACAGGTAAGTCAAATCTGTGTTCACACTGAACCTAGTGAGTTCTTACAACAGCAGGGGGGACTCATGTTCACTGTTGCACATCTTAACCAATGCAACGGCATGACGTATTGGTTATTTACTCTATAACACATCGAGGATATTATTATCTATATCAGGCTGTGGGTTACACGGACAACACTTGTTTGTAGGATCCAGGGTGTTTTCGTGGGATTTGTTGACAGTAAGAAAAATATATATTATCACCAGACTAATCCTCCTCTAAGTAGCATTCTTTTCCCTCATTCATATTGCAGTGCAAATTGTCTAATTTCTGTCCTCTCTTTCTAGCCGTCCACTATTATTCATGACAGGTGTGGACACATTAGTCTCAACTTAAAATGCTCAGAGCCAATTGTTTGTTTATAAGCTCTTTGTGACCGCTAGAAAAGACAAATAAAGCGTTCAAGTGCTACAACGTGCAGCACGACTTGTTGAATAAGCTCTTTCCTTGTGGGACCATGTAGTGCTGATTATGTGGGATAACGGATCACTAAAATAGGTCCATTGAGTGAGTTACTTTTCAACCAGACTAAATCCAAAGCTTTTTGTTCTCTAGCTGCAAACTTGTTGTCAACAAATGTACTTCATCTTTCTTTCCACAGATCACCACCGCAGATCAGCTGTTGGAGTTTTTTAAGCAGGTGGGAGACGTAAAGTTTGTGCGAATGGCTGGAGATGAGACTCAGCCGACACGTTTCGCCTTCGTGGAGTTTGTTGAGCAGGAATCTGTCGCCAGAGCCCTGACCTTCAACGGAGTCATGTTTGGAGACAGACCCCTGAAGTATGTATATTGTGTTGTTGTTACAGAGCAGTACAGTCAAGTCAAGCAGCAAACACTTTAAATCAAGAAATGAGTCATTTATTTACTCAGAATATTGTTCTCAAACAAAAAAAATTTGCTGCTTGTCATTAATCATATCATTTTGAGCACATAATATCTTTTAGTGCTTTGTGTCATTTGATATTGTTTTGTGTCTTTCAGGGTTAATCATTCCAACAACGCCATCGTAAAACCGCCAGAGATGACGCCACAGGCTGCTGCTAAGGAGCTTGAAAGTGTGATGAAGAGGGTGAGGGAAGCCCAGTCAACCATTGCTGCTGCTATAGAGCCAGGTACAGCATTTGATTTGCTGCATGTATCAACGTTCTAGTAATAAAATAATGAAGTTGCGTTCTGATGCTGAGACTGTTGCTCGTACTCTAGCGGACATACAGAAGCGTTCCTCCAGCCGGTCCACAAGGGCACGCCGGTCCCGTTCGCGGTCACGCTCTCGTTCACACTCAAGAATGCACAGGAAAAGGTCCCGTTCGAAACACAGGTGCCCAACTAATGATCAGGGTTTTAAGATTTCACTCGTTTGACGTTGTGCTCATATGATTGTGATTGTCTTCAGTCAGTGACAGTTTTATTATTTTTATCTTCTCCCCTTTGTGTTGGAGCAGAGCGCCACAGAGGTCGTGGCCAAGGAGTGTCCCCCACAGTTCCCGAAGAGACCACAAGAGGCTCTCTCACTCCAGAGACAGGAGACACAGTCGTAGTCGCTCAAGGTATGTTGGGAACAAAAAACATACAGTATAAAACAATAATGGCCCTGGAGGGTGTGCAGAGCACCATCTGCTGCTGTAGTTTAATTTGAGATAATTCACTTAATCACATAATGTATTATCAAGAAAACTAAATTTGATCTACTGTAGCACCAACCTGTTATCCCTAACCTTGGCAGTAGAGGTCGCCATGTACCTGAGTGTAGTAGCTGCCTGAATTTGGCTCTTGTTCTGCATCTGGCGCCAGATTGATCTTTATTAACCTTTTAACACAATAAGGTCTTATCTGTAATATGTGTTTTGATTTTTATCAACTCTGACCTTATGTTTTTGTTTCTTTCATGCACACTGCTGCTTTTTCCATGAGTAGCTCAAATTGTCTCCAAATAATGGACTTAATCCACTTAATGTGTTACAAGGGGCCACAGGAGGAGGAGTAAGGATCGTTCCAGGAGCCCTCGGATGAAAGCCAGATCACCCTCGCCAAAAAGGTAAATCCATCGCATCCCATCCTCCCAAACTGTTTTCAGGTGCTCTAAATGTCGATTTTATTTTTCTTCTTTTAGAGGTAAGAAAGAAAAGAGGAGGGAGCGCAGCAGGGACAGAAAGGACCGCTCCACATCCAGGAAGAGGAGCCGCAAAGACGAGGACAGGATAAAGAGCAAGGCCAAGCCATTGAAGGTAATAAAGCTTACACGTCTCCTGGTCGGGCAGTCAAGTAACACCTAAGTTTGTTGAAAGACTTGTCAGGCATGAAGGGGAAAATGAGGTGTTTGTCAGAGTTGAAAAAGAGAAGAGCATAAAGGTCTCATTCAAGCGGTTTTTCCACGCTACTATGGTAGGAGGAAGACACTGTTAGTGACCTTGTTTTCCTCCCCTAGCTCTTTATGCCTGGCAGAAGTGCTCGATGAACACCTGCTAGCTGACAGGGATGCATTTTGTAAGCAATTTCTTTATTTCATTAAGCAATCATTGTCTATTGTAATGATCAATAATAAAATTACATTTTTACCACACAACTCACCCCATGCTTCCTCACTCCCTTCATGGACATTAGGTATCTTACTGCTAAAAGTCTGATGCTATGGTGCTTCGCAGAGCAGCTCACTCTTGACTCATCAATCTCTTTGTGGTGATAGATGTTCAGTTAATCATTAATGTCCCTGTTTCTAAAGGTCTCAACTTGCATTTTTCCGAATCCTCCTAAAGGCATACGGCCATGTGAATGTGAGCCACAAGGGGACACTCATCTGAGACTAATAAATGTGCCCTTTAGATATATATTAACGGGAATGTTTTGACATTTTGGGAAATGTCTTAATGAGCGTTAGATAAGTGGATCGATATAACTTTTATGTCTGTATGCTAAATAGGAAGCGAGAGCCAGCAGGTGCTTAGCTTATCATAAGGAGCTGAGACACGGGGATTAACAGCTAGCCCGACTCTGTTCAGCAAAACGAGTTACCTGCCATTTCCGCTGGTTGCCTGGCAACCTCATGATGATGACAAGATGCCTTTTTACATTCAGACAAAGCCAGACCAGCTAATTCCAGTCACATATGCTAAGCTGAGCTAACCACTTGCTGGCTGTAGCTTCCTATTTAGCGTAGAGATATCACTGTGGTATCGCTCTTCTAATCTAGGGTGTGTTGTTTTTTTTTTTTTTTATGTCTGATAAAATTTTCGCGACAGAAACTGTGTTTCTTTGGTAAATGTCTCACTTCCCTCCAGCTCGAGTATCAAAGCACGTGAACTGACCTACTTTGAAAGTTTACTATACAGATCACACTAAGGCGATTGCCGTGAGATAAAAGGTAACACATTTTAGGCTTATCGCACTCCATCTTTTCTGTTGATAACAATCAGAACATGTACAAGTGTCAGCGGAACAAATGTTCTCCTCAGAAACCACTGCAGTCTTGCAAAATGCTTGTTTTTGGAGGTGCACTGCAGAGTCTGTTCAGTCTTCTCATGTACTGTATTTCATAGTTGTCTGAAGTGATACTCAAAAACACAATTTCTTTGATTGAAACACTCAACCCATGTAAAACTTATTACTTGTATTTTCTCTGCTGCAGCTGGAGTGTTAAAAGGTGAAACAATCACATTTTTTACTGCAGCGACGTCAGCATCTCTGCTGTCCATGAAAAAGCAGGAACCATACACGTGACAAACTAAAATATAAAAGTCATGTGGGACTCCCCCCAACCCTCAGCCCCCGAATATTTGGCAAAGACTAGCAGCTCAGTCGACTCGGAGAACAAAAACATCCCTAGTTTTTAATAAAAAATAATAATGATAATAAAATGTAATCATGTAATAAATGTCATTTTATGATATGCGTAGCCATAGGAACAGAGTGATTGGTAGCATTGCAGTTCTTCCTAGCCTCCAGGTAGTGCTCCGTGCTTTTAGCCTGTGTGTGTGTGTGTGTGTGTGTGTGTGTGTCCCGTCCTGCCGCAGATCATTCAAAACATAGTCGGACTGCTCTCTGGGAGGTGGGCTGGTCGCTCGGTGAGCAGCTCGTTTTACAAAATCAGCGACAGATGTGTTGTCTGCAGCTCAAGCGGTAAGATAGAAGATATAGATAGAAGACAAACAGGGATAAGAAATAGAAAGTCTGGGTTTGGCTAGCTGGTCATGTAGCTGTAACGGGTGACGTTTGTTGAAACATGTTCAGCTTTTCATAAAGCCGATAGATTTATTGTCACACATGCACAAGTACACAGTGAAATAAGACAATAATTTTTAATCCAATTTAGGTTGATTCTGTAACATTTATCCGGATCAGTGTCCTTCAATCGCTCTCATCCTCAGCGTCATACGTGCATCCAGTTCATCTAGTGATTTCGACAGTTCTTCTAATTTCATTGTCAGACCAGTGGTTACTCTCAGCAGCTCACCAGACTGCGCCCCGATGGTGTCAATCCTCCTCTGCGCTTCCACAGACCGGTCTGAGATGTTACTTAACAGTTTACCGTTCTGATCAGCCCTTTGATGTAAAACCTTCAGTTTATCGTTCACCCCATTTAAGCACTCTTTAAGTTCCCCAGACAGCTTTTGGGTACATTTGCTGGCGGCTGTCTTACCAAGTTTATGATATATTAGGGAGATTCCAAGTCCGATAATCAGGAAACCCACTAACAAAATTCCAATTATCCATAAATCTTCAATGTCCTCCACAGATAAAACCGCTTGCCAGGTCTCCCACGAGACGCGAGCGTAGCCTGCAGCGAATGTTCCACTGGGACAGTTCGGCTCACCCGGTGAAGCACGTTTCTGGGTGAAAATCTTGTCAATAGCGCTGAGTGACCAGTTGATTAATTCCATTTTGATGGTTTCAGGAGAACAGCAGGCAGGTGGTCAAAAGAGAAAAGTTTCCATATGACCAAAGTAGATAGAAAATAGGAGCAAACCAAGATAAGAGGGGAGAGTAGGAAAAGCACGACTGCTCTCTACAGTAGCAGGAAGAGGAAGCCTGCTGCTGTGACATTGACCAAAAGTGACATTGACAAGATGACTGTCAATGTCACTTTTGGTCAACCAACCAATCACATCCTGGACGGGGCGGGATATGCGTAAATGATTGTTATGGGAAAGTCAGTACTTACCATTTACATATTAGAGACCAATGTAGGGCATTTTTCTTGCACAAGGATTTCATGAATGAAAACAACCCACAAAAACGAAACTGCTAAGCGATATCTGATATGAAACTGATATTTTTGTCATTTTTTTTTAGCTATCAATCTTTGTCCCAGGTGTAATACAATAGAATTACCACTTTAATCAAACTACCGTTATCTTAAAGTTAGCTCTCTGAAAATTTAAATTGGTCTAATTTTTTTTCAATCTTCTGGTCCTCACAAAATATCAGTAACAGATACAACTGGATCTTCTCTTAATGGACAGACTCCAGTGAAAATGCATTGCACTGGCCCCTTCCATATTTTTACTCCGGGGGGAAAAAAGAGAAAAATAACATACTGTTACTTTATTAATGTTATACATGTCATACGATTGCCCAGGTGCTCTGAGCAGCAAAACTGAAAATGCACTCATTTACAGGCCAAGACTGGTCATTGAATGACTCAATGACCATAAATTAATGTGAAACCTTTGCAATGCAGTGGTCCCACTCCTTTTTTTTTGACTGACTGAACTCACAATTATAATCTTTACAATTTGTTACACCAAGGCCGAGAAACCAGACTGAACAAGGGTCTGCAGCCACGCTAGGGTCTGCGACTTATGCAGTTTGTTAAATGCTGACGTTACAGTTACAGTTACAGTATTGACTTTGTAGACAGGGCAGCCAGAGGACTCAGGCAATAAGGCAGCTGACTTGGGATGTTGACAGAGCAACTGTCAACTGGCCCCGGGCCATCGGGATATTCCTTATGTCGATTGAGTACTCCTCTAAGCACCTCATCATGATTACATGAGCTCTGATATTTTCATCAACATTTGGCTGACCATGTTTGATTGTGACTCCTTTTAAATTTCAGGTGCAAAGGGACTATGACAGAGAAGAAAAGGAAGACTTTGAAAGTGACAGAGAAGACTCAGCCACACTAAGCGAGGACATAACGTCGTCACCCTGCGCCCAGCACAACGGCAGCTATAAGACTCACAGTGAGGAGGATGCATCTTTGTGTGCAGACAACACCAAGTGACAACTACAACACCACAGAAACTAATCTTGTACCATCAAATGAGCTCATCGCGTGCGTACGCAAACATGAACACTGGCAACACCGTGTTTCCCCTATTTCATCTCAAAAAGTTTTACAAACTGATTTTCACTGTACAATCTTGGCAAAACACCAAGATGAAGAATTTGGGACTTGTAGTGGTTGCATATTATATAATGTAATATAAGTGCAACACTAAATACTGCAGGCTCACAAGCTACTATAAACAACTGGTACTTGTTTCTCTAGCAATCTGAAGCCAGATTTTAATTGCCTGATTACAATGATTTTACCTGTTGAAAAAGAGCAACATTTTCTCTCCATTCCTCCACTGACATCTTGACCCATACACTTCAAAAGTCCAAAAAGCCTTTCATGCCTCTAAGATTATCAGTAGTTCTCATACTGTATGTACATCATTTCCTTAAAAAACGTTTCTGTCCTGATATTGCAAAGAGCAATATGCACTAACGATCTACGTTAATGGTAATAAAATTTTGTATCTTACATTATGCCTCATTTACTTGTGAGATTCAGCAGTAGAGGTTTTAAAATGTTGACATTCGCCTTTATTGCCACGTTGGTTTAATCTGCTCAGTACGTGCACTAAAGCATGCTCCTAAAGACGCAAATAACACACAAAAGAGGCTTGGAGTGGCTGCTACTGAGGGTCTTGACACACTTCCTCAGGCAGCAAAGTATTTTACATTCTAGGAGAATGACGGCTCTATATCCTTATTATTCTACAATGTTCATCTAAATCTGGTTTGAACTGACTGTTGACGATTAAGTAACTTCAGCTTTTACATCCTGTAATTCCGTCCTGTTAAAGTGTCGTAAAGGCCCCCAATTGAATTGTCAGTCCCTCATAAGGCTTTTAATTTATCATATAGCCAGTTTAAAGGGAGAGCAGTACTGTGGTGAGCAGGTAGCACAGAGTTGGTTGATGGTGTATTTTGCATCAGTTGCATTTTGGTCAATACAAAAACAAAAATAACCTACTGGATGTAATGATTGTGGTATAATCCAGGCCAGTATCATGTTAGGTGTGGTATCTGTTTTTAGCATTTGCTGCTCAGTAGCACACCAAAAAGCTAAAGGAGTACGCATCAAAACAAGGTTCTTACCAGTTTACCTGTTAACACTGACAATGTTTGATTAGCCAGCTGTTTAGTTCTTCGACATGTCCTTTAATGTGTCCTTATTGACACCTCCTGGGGTAGAAGAAACGCCCCTCTCGGACTGTGGTCTCATGGGGTGTAACTGTTTTGCTGCACTGGTTTTGGTGTGGCTCGTGCTGTGACAGCAACTTCCCGTACTCTGTTTACTTTGCATATTTAATACATGTTTCTTGATCAAATAATTTAAATGCAAGAACATGAGTGTGTATATTTTATTTTATTTTATTTTTTTTAAAGGCACTCTGCTGATGCTAAAATGCTCGTTGTGCGGTGTTAAAGCACGATTTGAACTACCAGGTCTGTGCAGTGTTCTTTTATTCCCTGCTCTGTGCCATTTTTCTCCATCATCTTGGAACTGGAGAGTCCTGCAAAATGTACGGTGTTGATTTTGGGACTTATAGTGCTGTAATCATGAGAATGCAGAATCGCGTTCTGCTGTTTCTGTGAACCTCTTGCTTATATATTTTAGTAAAAAGATAAGTTTCTCAACAGGAATACATTGTTTTTCTCCTGTTTTTGTTTTATGGGTGTACACTTACTTCCTTTAAAAAAAAAAAAAAAAAAAAAAAAAACAATTGCGAGTAGTCTCCACAAGATCACAATGTATCGTGTTTCTTTTACTGTTATAGTAACGCTGTCAGATAGAAACTATCTACTGTTTTCATACATATGACACAGGCCTATACTGTAAAAATGATGGCGGTGTGCAAAATGTCTGCTGGGTCATATTGCTCAAGAAAGGGAGATGCAAACAAAGCTGGAGGTGGCAGTCTTCACGAGGCTGACACAAGACATCACTTGCAAACAAACTGCTTGCAAGCACAGAAGGGTCAAAAAGTGCCTAGACTAAGATTGTACAGAATATTCTAATAAAATATTGAGACTTATTGACAGATGCAACCTGAATTTGATGTTCAGGGTGTTTAATAGATAAAAATAAAGAGATGTTATAAAAAAAGTATTGTCAGTTGTCTTTAGTAATTAATAGCAGAGTAGGCTGAACATTGATGGGACTTTTGTGGATTTGTTTTTTTATTTTTGGTGTTGCAGTATTGTAATTGTGTTGAAAATGTATCTGCAAACTGGCCCCAGATCAAGCTCAGTGTTTTTTTAAGTTCCTATAAAAGTTTGTTTTATTAAAAAAAAAAAAAAAGTAGACTTAAAGACGTTACGACTGTCCAAATCCTGCTATGGCTTTTACAAACCTAATTTTCATGTATTTGTATTTCTTTTCTTTGTCTTATTTTATTTTTTTTTTACGTACACAAGGCTTCAGTTTGAAGTGGAGAACCTGTGATAGCATTTAGTAAAGCATTTCCAACGCAACTGACAGTATGTGAATAATTTTATTTTTTATATCACTGTATCCACTATGTATGGTATACACTGTAGAAACGAGTCGCGGTTTGCTCCTGGGGGATTGGGCACTTGCTGTGAAGGTTTGGTAATACTGTTATCGAAGAGCTTGGATGTATCTCTGTGATCCTCCTCAATTTGATTATAAAAATACATCTGATCTGTTTCCAACAGCAACCAATAAAGAGACTTTTCGTTCAGTTATTTTGCTTTTAGTGCCCTTGTTGTGTCATACCGTCAAGTATTACAGATTGATCTCAGTCAGCCTTTGGTTTCCTGGTTTGGATCTTAATGTGTTTTCTGCAACTTGACAAAGAACTGTTTCACTGTGGACTTCTGTGTGCAATAAAGACCTAACCCGGTCTCCTTTATTTGTTGCTCCCACAGTATTGTTAATGATCGATAAGAATTCTGTCCATTCTGTGGTGGCGGGGCATTCACTTTTTTCGGCGTCTGAAGGGGGGCATGACAGGAAAAGTTTAAGAACCGCTGCTCTGGGGTCAACATGAGGTTGGCTTTCAGCGAAATGGCTCCATAACTATTTTAAGGAAATGTATGTTGATGTCATTTTCACATCACTAGGAAAAGCAGAGGTGTAAATGATAAAATTGATTTTGTTTCAATGTCCCAGTACTGTGCATGCTAGCTCGACGTCACACTGTCGGGACTTCTGTAAACACTTAAAGAACATTGCTAATGGTATTACTACTCGTCTTGTTTTCATACTATGTATTACTATTGTTAAGAACAATTGTATGACCTCTGGCCAAAATTTTGATTCGTCCAATACCATTTATGACCAAATACCTGCAAAACTAATTCCCTACAGCCTCAGCTGTTCTTTGTGTTTAGTGCCAATTAAAATGTGCTTGCAAGTTAACAAGCTAAACAAAGATGGTTAAACATCAACATCAGCATGTCATGCTGACGTCAGCATTTAACAAACTGCATAAGTCGCAGACCCTAGCGTGGCTGCAGACCCTTGTTCAGTCTTGTTTCTCGGCCTTGGTGTAACAAATTGTAAAGATTATAATTGTGAGTTCAGTCAGTAAAAAAAAAAGGAGTGGGACCACTGCATTGCAAAGGTTTCACATTAATTTATGGTCATTGAGTCATTCAATGACCAGTCTTGGCCTGTAAATGAGTGCATTTTCAGTTTTGTTGTCATTTTGAGGTATTCAGATTTACAGATAAAATACTGTATGCTCAGGAATATCAAGTCGTGCATTTTGTACAGAAATGAGTGGAGATATTGTGCACGGACAGAAGAGATTGTTCAGGTAGTGCAGATATACAGGTAGAGAGGTTGGAAGATGGACAAACTGTCTTAGGAACTTAAACTGGACTTCTGTCTTTATAAATATACTGTATGTAGGTGTCTATTTTAACAGTAAGTTTGGTAGTGACATAAACAGAACTAAATACTGCACTTGTTGTATTGATCATTGAGGACTAAAAGAATCCACGCTGTGACAACCAGCACACAGTATGACAGCTCCTCATAGTGCACCTCTGGTGGGCAATGGTATTTATGCTCCTGTGTTTTTGGCTCTTCATGCTCTGCAATCTTGTTCCAAACTGTTTTCAGAAAACCATGGACATCTCCTCGCTGCCGCAGGTGGGACTGGTGCTAAATTGCCGTACATAGTCCAATCCTGATTTGACCCCAGTCAAGTCTGTTTCCTCTGGTTCACTTTCAATGGCTTGAGTGACCGATGTATTTGCCGGCACGCCCTGAGGCATCACCTGCTGAAACATTTCCATTGTTGTATAATCACATGAAAAGGCAAAAGGAGGACTCTGGCGGTGTGTCTGTTGGTTGGCCGAGAATGTTTCTGCATTACTGTCACGGTCGATATCTCCTGTTGCATCCTCTGTGTCACTGTGGATCCAGCTACGGGTCATTTCTGTAGAGTCCTCCTCATTGTCTGAGGCACGGAGAAGCGGTAACATTGATGCTAATGTGCTGGCAGGGACCACATTTTCTTTCTCAACTATGTGGAGACTATGTGTATCCCATTCTTCCACCTTCAGAGTATTGATGGACTCTAGTAGTTCCTGAGTGAAGTAAAAACAAGTATCCTTAACATCCACAAAAGAATTACACCCAATCCACAAACATGGACAACATACTTCTGGCAGTATAATACATACAGAGTTTAAGTTTCGTTCAGTTCAGTTCAGTTTTATTGTTCCCACACTGTTAAAACCGTTGCTACAGTTACTGAAAGCACAGACACTTACCAGCTCACAGGGTCCTTCTATTTTCTGCATTGCATTGCTGTTTCCAGGGTTAGGTATGCTTGGCCACAAAATTACTCTGGCTCTAAAAAAGGAAGTGGTGTTGAGTATTTATACATATATATGTATATTTATCCAAGTTAAAATTTAATCATACATATAAGACAGTGACATACCTTTTAATTATTGGAGATCCAAATATCAGCACAACACCGACAACAACCAAAACTGTGATGACACCACTGAGATTATTATCATCTGTGGAATGGGAGAACAAAATGCAGAAAATACACAGTAAGTAAAAAGGTTTCTTCAACGAATGAATGATTAATGGTTAAAAAGTTGTTTGATTCATATAACCTTGAGTGTTTGTTGTAAAGAGGTATATGTTGCTTCTTACTCCTGCTCCTGCCCGGGTGAAACCTGATATCTGGACTTTATATCCTGTGCCACTTTTGAGATCCGCCAACTGATAACTGTTTAACAGTGGATCCACTGTAATATCTGCAAAGAGTTTGAAACATCTGCTTTAATGTTGGACTGAATTTTCAAATACTGCATGATTATTTACACTTGGCAAAACATAACCAATCAGTTGGCCCCTAGGTTTGGTACAGATTGAAATATCCCAACTGCGACAGACATTCATGGTCCCCAGAGGATGACTCCTCATGACGTTGGTGATCTCCTGACTTTCATAGTAGTGCCATACTAACAAGCTTAACTAGGATGATGAACATGGTGAACATTATACCTGTTAAACATGAGCATGTTAGCATACCAACATTAGCACGAGTACAGCCTCACAGAGCCCCTAGCAGGCTGCAGACTCAGTCTTGCGAAATTATTCTGCAAGGTTTTAATGTGTGTAAACTCTAAAACAAAGCACTTGCCAAGTATGTGCCGACACTGATGCTGCCTGGAGAGTGTTTCACAGGAATTATACAACGTGTCTGGATTGTCTAACCAATACTGCCAAACTAGTCCCAATCAGAAAGGATGTCTACTGACTATAATTTCACAGCAGTGTCTGCCAAAGTTTGTGAAGCCAGAGATGTTATTGTACATTTTTTGTACATTTTATCTTTATAAGTAAAAGTTTAGTTTAAGGTAGATGGTGCATACTTCTCTCTGTACCTGTCCCCTTCTGGTGGTACTCTTTGTAGTGGATTATGTAACCCAGTAGGAAACCTCTGATGTCTTTCTCTGGGATGGAAGACCACTGCAGCACCACTGAAGTCTGTGTCACATTGAAGCTGCTGATGTTTGGAGCGCTGGCAGGAGCTTTGGGAGAACAATGTCAGGGAGTCAGACTGTTTTGTTATTGATAGAATAAGAAGAAACCTGCAGCAGAGGCCTATTATATAATCTTTATCCTTGTTTTTGGCCATGCTTGAGGTGTAGCTCAAGGCATGGCAATATTGGTCGGTCACTCCACCGCTTTGGTGACCGCTGGTCCAAAGTTAACAACTATTAAATGGATTGCCATGAAATTTGCACTGTGTATTTTGACAATTATGCTACACTACAATATGGATACTACAAAATTCTAGTATAGGCATTCATGTTCCCAAGAGGATGAATCCTTATGACTTTGGTGATCCCTTGACTTTTCCTGTAGCACCAACAGGTTGATGTTTGAAATGTCCCAACTACTGATTGATGGATTGTCCATCAAATGATGTGGGCTTTGTAGATAATTGGCAGACTTTTTGGGGATTAGGATTAGGAGAGACAGTGTTCTTCCCACTTTGGATGGAGCGGCTAAATGGTCTGTATTTGTATAGTGCCTTTCTAGTCTTTCCGACCACTCAAAGTGCTTTACACTACATCACATTCACCCCATTCACACATGAGCAGAGGCTAAGGTGCCAACTGCTCAACAGAAAATGAAACTCATTCATACACGTTCACACACCGATGACACAGCCATTTGGGGTTCAGTTTCTTGCCCAAGAACACTTCAGCATGTAGACTGTAGTCCTACACGCTTCTCTGAGCAGTTACCCACCCAAAACCCCAAAGGAAAGATGTCTGCCCCCTGACTCCTTAAATTCAATAAATGAAAAGTAAACAAAAGTGATTGATTGATTGATTGATTGATATATTTTATTTTGAACATGTAATTAAAATTTAAAAATAATCAGAGAGATAAAAAATTTACATGTGCAAAAAGGAGGTAGGAAGAAGTAAAACATATGTACTCCTACCCCTTTATACCCTATACTACCATATTTAAAGAAATTACTACAAAATAATAAGTCTACAGAGATAATAAATCTATAATCAATGAATATATATATTCTATTCACACACAGATATTACACCTTCACAACAATATCTATACATACTACAAATTATTCAGTATAAGCCCAGATTATTATTAGCACTGTGTTTCTTTGTACCTCTGGAATATAATTTCTTCTTCATCTTTTTAAATTGGAATATGTTTGGACATTGCTTTAATTCATTATTTAGTTTCCACAATTTAACATCACTAACAGATAAACAGAAACTTTTCCTAGTAGTTCGAAAACTGGGAGTCTTAAAATTTGATTTTCCCCTTAAGTCGTTGCCCCCCTCTCTTTCCAAAAACCTTTGCTGTATATTGCCAGGCACTATATAGTTTCTAGACTTGAACATAATTACTGCTGTTTGAAATTCAACTAGATCAAATAGTTTTAATGCTTTAGAATAAAAAATAATGAGTTGGTGTGTTCCAAATATCCTGTGTTATGAATTATTCTTATTGCTATTTTTTTGAAGTATAAATAACGATTGCAATGAATTTTGATATGTGTTACCCCAAACCTCTACACAGTAACTTAAATATGGTGACACCAGTGAACAATACAAAATGTGGAGTGATCTGTAATCTAGAATGTGCTTAGCTTTAGCCAGGACTGAAATACTTCTAGACAGTTTTGTTTGGATATGTTTTATGTGACATTTCCAGCAAATCTTGTCGTCTATAATCACTCCAAGAAATTTCATTTCATATACTCTTTCTATATTAACATCCTCGATCTGTAACTGAACTTGATTGATTGATTTACAATTGCCAAATATCATGAATTTAGTTTTGCTCAAATTTAATGATAACTTATTTGTGTCAAACCACTGTTTTATTTTTCTGAATTCTGAAGTGATTAAGTCCAGGAGTTGCAGACCTATTTTTTCTGAATACATACTGGCTGTCAGTAAGTAGTTTGTGTTTATCTATGGATTTGTCCATCTGTCATTGAAGAGTTTTTCTAGAATTTTTTGAGAATTGTGGCAGCAGAGAGACAGGCCTGTAATTTGTGAAGTGGTGTTTATCTCCAGTTTTGTACAGAGGTTTGCTGTTTTCATTTTTGTTGGAAATTGACCAGTTTGGAATGACAAATTAAAGATGTGAGTTAATGGTTTTGAGATCCCCTCAATTACATTTTTTTACTATCTTCATATCTATTTCATTACAATCAGTGGATGCTTTAGTTTTGTATTTTTTAACAATGTGTATTATTTCTTTTTCTTCTACTGCTTTAAGAAACATTGAACATGGATTTCTTTCAATAAGATCATTATATCTGTTATCGATTATCTGTGGCATAGGAATTTTTCCAGCTAAATCTGGTCCAACATTTGCAAAATATTTATTAAAGTCACTGACCACGTCCTTCATGTTATTGATGTTCTTTTCATTACCAAGGAAATGTCTCGTGCCCCTTCTTATAATACTGTTTAGTATATCCCATATACCCTTCATATTATTTTTTATTATTATCGAATAGTTTACTATAGTATTCTTTCTTACAAGTTCTCATAATCTTAATTAACTTATTTTTTGTATTTCTTATATATATTTTCTGCTTCTATAAGTCTGTGTTTAATAAATTCTCTATAAAGTGTATTTTTCTTTTTACAGGCATTTTGTAATCCTTTTGAAATCAACGGTCTATCACTATATTTTTTTCTGCAATATTTTTATTGGACAATTATCATATCACTTATCATATAATAATTGAAATATTCTGAGGAATTCACTATATACTTTATTAATATCTTTTTCCTTATAAATTATTTCCCAGTCTTGTGAAAACAGATCATCTTTAAATGCAACCATAGACTGAATAGAGGTTTGTTGTCTTTTTTAGATGTGTAGTTGCTGTTGTAAACTGTAAAAACTGGTAGGTGGTCACTGATGTCATTTATTAATAGTCCACTAACTGTATTGTTATCTATGTCATTTCTAAAAATATTATCAATTAATGTTGTGGGAAGTAATCCTGCTGGGCCTGGTAATTTTTGGGGAAAAGCTCAGACTATACACTGTATGGATATAATCCTCTGTCATATTGTGCTTGTTTGGATTTAGCAAATCAATGTTGAAATCCCAACAGATGAACATGACTTTCTGATTTGTTTTTGCAATTTTTTCTTCCATCCAATCCTTAAATAAATCAATATTAGAACCAGGTGATCTATAGATGCAACTTACAATAACATTTTTCTTTTTTCCCTAAATAGTTCTATTGTGACACATTGAATATCCACCACTGTAGACATTTTTTCCACCACCTTGTGATTAAATTTCTTCCCACATACAAAGCCACACCACCCCCATTCTTGTTTTCTCTGTTAATACAAAACATTTCATATCCTTCAATTTCAAAGTCTGAGCCCTTTTCACTGTTTATCCAAGATATAGCAATTATATTGAAAGGCTGATTTAGATAATATTTAATGTTGTGAAAGTTAGCGTAAAGGCTTCTGCTGTTAAAGTGGATTATTGATATTGTCTTCACTGAACTATTAAACTGTTCATTAGTGTAATAATAGCAATTGCTGTTGGAGTTGAGGAAAAAGTTGTTCAGGATCAATATCATTTCAAGTCCTGTGAGTGATGTTCAGTGTATTGAAAGCTCAGCTCTCGTTTATCATGATCAACAATCCTCAGCAGTGGTTGATTAGCACGTGTGTGACTTGTGAAAGATGTCATAGTGCGGTCAGCATACCTGGTTGGAGACTAAATATTGCTTGTCTATTTTGGTGTACTGGACTGGGGCAATGTCCCCCCTTTCTCTTGCAGCTCTCAGATCCGGCATCAGTTCCTTCCTTTTTCTTCTGACAGAATCCGTGAAATGATCATTGCTAAAGATTTTGGATCCTTTCAGTGACTTTTTGTGTTGAAGTATGGCAGATTTGTCCTTGTGCCTCCAAAATTTCACCACAATTCCTTGTTCTGTCTCCTCCAGGTTTCCCTGCCCGGTGGGCCCTCTCCACTTCAACCTCTCGCTGCAGCTGTAACTTGTCCACCAATACTTTCTTCACTTTCTCCTCCGTCTCGGCCCAGGTCTCTCCTGGTGCCTCCTGTATTCCCTCAAAAACGACGTTGTTATGCCTGGATTGTCCCTCCAATTACTCCATTTTGTCAGTGACAGTAAGTGAACTGTCAGAAACGTTAAAGATGTCTGACTGCATGGCGTTGCAGCGTTCAGTTTGCTTAGCAATATAATGTTTAATGTCATCCACATCTTTTTGTGTAAATTGCAAACTTGTTTTTATGTCCTGTAGATCCTTAGTTATTGCATCCAGTATTCGCTTCTGCGTTTGCTTTTTGTGGCTTTTTACCGTTTTCCGTGTTTGACTTAACGATCACAACAGATAACTAAATGTGTAAATGTAAGTGTCTCCCTTCAACCTTGGCACTCCTGTTAACAAGCTGATAGTGATAGGTGTTCGATTTTCCTTCCTACACATGCAGTATGAATGCTCAAATTTAAGATAAGATAAATCTTTATTATCCATTTCTGGAAACTTGTCTTTGGCTTCACCAGGTTCATTAGAAAAACATTAAAAACATCAAATACACATAACACAGGAAACAGTGCATTCAAACACAAAAACCAATAGGGATAAAAGAGTTTTTAAAAAGGTTTTTTGTTGTCCTGGGTTGAACAGGAAGACAGAACGCCATTCAACATTAGGAAGTGCTCTCATCACTGTTTTCCAGGCTTGGAATTTAGTTCCTTTCAAGATGTGAAGGAATTCAAAGCAAGTTCATTATTGGTTCATTCTGCCTTTCTCTTCTCTGCCTGCTTGTTGACTGAGTTGAGTTGATAATGATGCACTGTTATACATTTTCTGGGTAACCCAAGGTCGAAATTATCTTTAATTTGTTTCATTACAGACGGCTTGATGTAGTAAGGGCTGCATGTGGTTTTAATGACACACAACGTGTCTGGATTTTAACCAATAACCAATAGGCTCTTCACACATGTATAGAGGGGGTGAACAATAACCTTTTTTGGACACTGAATTTTTGTAGGTCACTGAAGCATAAATATCCCCGGACAGGAAGAACCCGTCATATTTCATGTTGGCATGTGTTCACACATATATGCAGCTTAAACCATGCTATGTAAGCCTTCATCACACCTCAACCTGGCTCACAATATTTCTTTAACAAATTGTGCAAAGAAAATAGGCGCTAAATAGATAAATAAAATTCAATTGAAATTGCCGTGAAATTTTCTTTCTAAAAGTTTCTTACAATAGACTTTTAGTCTTGTTTATATCTGTCGCATTATACAAATATACACAGACATATTGAAATTGTAGTAAGACTGTGACTTACATCCTTCCTTGAAGTAGAACTCTGTACTCCCATAAGTGCTCTCACTGTTGTTGATATGCTTCAAGTTGCAGGTGTCCTTGTTTGGTCGTGTGTGCAGAGTGATGGTGTATCTCTCATAAGGCTCCAAAGGCTCTGGGAATTAAAAATAACTAAATAGATTATCTCAGATGCAGGAAACTAAATACATTTTGTACCAAAATCAACCCTGCCTTTCAGAAATTCTGTTCACATACTAAAACTTCAACATCAGACAATAACCACTTGACTTACGTTTATTATCAACATAATGAGGGGATGTTTTTAAATGACTGTTTCCTGCAAGTCACATGATATTTATACAGAACGTATCTGTAAAGCGTTCACTGACAATGTATTTCATGTGATTATCCTCTATTATCCATGTGTTTATTGTGTTAAGTGTATTGTGTTTATATGATTGTGCTTAGGTTTACTTCGTTAAGGCCGGTCATTGCAAGCACAAGACAGGACATGTTTACTTAACATTTAATCAAATCCCTAACCAGAACCAAACTGCTTTTGTTGCCTAAACCTTGTCAAAGGCTGGAATCAGGATGCAAATCCTGGTCTCCAGCATTAAGGTCCTCTGCTTTGTACAAAACCAAAGAACTTCCTTCACTCGCCACAGAACATAATCTATGTACCAATTACTGTGAGTTTTCTTCAAAATGTATTTGGCAAAACAAATTAGAATTATGTAAACAAAATGTCTAGGGGACAAGGTTGACCAAAATATGTGAATATTTACACACCTGGTAAAGGAGATAGTGTCCTATAGTTGTTTTCATCCTCATAAAAGGACTTGTATGCTACTTTATGTCCCCTCTTCATCCACTCCACAGAAAAGCAGACATACTTTTTGATGAAATCGTCTTTCCAATAGATAGTAAAAGATTTCTCGTTGTGGACTGTCACGTTCAGCTTCCCAGCTCCCATACCTGTGAGGACAAATTTATGATTCTTTTTTTCTGTAGGCTATATACTGTATAGACCCTTTAATCTCCAGAAGTGCTACTGCGCTGTGCAAATGAGTGCTCACTGGGCTTGTATTCTCGCTGTGGTATTGTTTGGCTCACAGCTGGGGAGGTGCTGGCGTTGTTGAAAGCGCTGATGGTAAGATGATAAGCTGAATAGGACAGAATCAGTTTGATCTCAGGTTGAGTGGTGTTCATCTGCTTACATGGGGCCTCTCCGGACGCTTTCCCAATGGTCACATAGAAGCCGTCATACCGTTCTTTGGCAGAAAACTAACAAACAACAACATATCATTTTATTATCATGATGACATCAGCTATGGCTAAACAACATGATTTCTTACCAATTATATTTCTTATGGTCAGAAAATTTGAGGCGCTAGATTTTAGATATTACCTTCCAGATTACAGAAAGAAGCCGACGATCTTTTGTCTTTGAAATGTCAGTATTATTAAGACTGACAATGACCGGTTGTGTTGTCAGTTCTGAAAGAGGACATTTATTATGAACTAAGAAACAATATTTCATCTTCCACTTCTTTTTCCTCTTGCAATCATATACACAACTCTTTGTTTTTGATAAATTTTTTTTCTTATTTGCACATGATTATTTATCTCACAATTAACACAATAGACATGTCTTATTCTTTCTCTCTTCATTCTTCTTTTTTTATATTTAATTCAAACGGGTAAATCAGAAAGCAAACTGACCTGAGGGGACAGTGTAGGCTTCACTCCATGGACACTGTGAGCATTTCTCATTAGTGACACACTGTATCCGAACTGTGTAGACCAGTGAGGAGTTCAGATTCTCCACCATGCAATTCGTTCTATTTTGGGATTGCAGGAGCAACTGTGAACAACATAGAAATTAATGAATGCCAGGAGGAATTATCCAAAACACTTGATTTTTAATCTAAAGCTGCAGTATTATCATAACGTCTATTGAAAATGTAGGACATTTTTGTACAGACATTAATGGCTACCAGATTGTACTTGATTGACTTTTCCTGTAGTAGGAAATTCCTCTCAGGATGAATTGTAACAACTTTGGTGATCCCTTATCTAATGCCAGCATTAAAACTTACTAATAATAAATAATAATTAATATTTACTGTACTAAAAAAATTACATTACCAGCAACCTCAGCTGTACTTTGTGTTTAGTAAACATCATACCTGTTGTGATCATGTTAGCATGCTGACACTAGCATTTACTTCAAAGTACCACATGTGTGGTCAAGTGTCAATTCCACAATGATTTGCCTAGCATCAAAGGAGAAACATACTTTACTCTGATATCAGAAAACCATTTTTATCTTTAGTTTCTGTGCTACTAATTCCACATGAAGTTAAAAGTAAGGCTGCTATCTAACCAAACTCTGAGATATTTATCAGATTTCACCTGAATTTCACTAATGATGCTCTTAGGGCTATTTCACATAAATAGCTTGATACCATTTGAAATGTAAATATATTTCATGAGCATTTAATACTGACCTTGCTCCATGAAGGGCTGCCCAGTGCTTTATAGCTCACTGAATAATAGCTAATGGCCTTTTTGTCCACCTCTTGCCATCTCACATCCACAAATAGCCTTCCAGAGTGGCGTCTGAAAGATGCGCTAACTGGAGGATCACATCGTGCTGAAATATCAAATGATTCACCTATGTTCAGATCTGTCAGAGACTTTTCATCAAAAACAGAGAAACAAAAAATTGATTTTTGTGGACTTACACAAACTCTTTGGTGAACCTCTGAAAACTGCTTTTGTGCAATTTGTTGACTCACTGGTTTCAAAAACCTCAGCGGTCATGTTTCGATCTTTATATAATGGGATGTTTTTAGAGAATTCAGTGATGTTTTTGTGAACTCTGCAAGATGGTTTGGGATCTCTAGAAGATGAAAGGTTTTGAAAAATGAGATGTTCATCATCAAAAATCATTACAGCGTAGAGAACGAGATAATAACAAATCAAAAATTAAACTTCATAAACAAAAACTTGCATGAAACTATCTAAATCAAGCAAAAGGGCCTGAGAAGGACCATTCAGGGTTAGAGGGTAATGTATTTACTGTAGTCTAGTCTAGCTGGTTCAGTGCCATATGAAGTGGCAACACGTTACAATGAGGGACACCCCAAAACCAAATCCTTCTGACGACCCAAAAGATGGCCGGACTTAATGTGCAATTTTATTTGTTTATAAGATAGAAATGGGAAAATGTACAACTCTGTAAAAAAGAAATCTGGTACTACTTACTGTTTTATGAAAAGCATGTATGTCTTTTTTGATGTGTGGTTTCCAGGTTTCCACACACACTTGATATCATGTGAATTATGTTTACCAAAACAGTCTAAATCATGGACTCCATCTGAAAGAAAGGCAGCAGTACAGTACAGAAATAGAAAGAGTAAAGAATAAGATTTTCCAATCTCTTTTCAACTGATGATTCAACTCTGGATGACTCAAATGTCTTTTCATTACCTGGGTGAATCCCACAGTGCTGATATTTAGAAGAAAGATTCATGCACTTCACTGGAAAATAGTATGAAAATGATTTGAAACAAGATAATGATCATCAAGAATGCTTTGTGGAAAAACACAAGCCTAAATATGGTACCACTTTTTATCTTATTGTAGGAAATGTATGATGATATTTGTGACTCAATACATTCTTTTGCAGAAAAACAAGGCTATTACCAAACTATTTATCAGGTCTAATTCAAAGAAATAACTGATATTTGAGCAGCAGTATGACGGTTATTAATCTGAAATGTTGTGAAAGAAAGTGAAAAATGCCTACCTGTAGATGGTTGGACATGAGAGTAGAGTGTAGTGTAGTAAGCAAAGATCAAACCTTGAACATGAACAACAGCGCAAGGTAGTTTTAGGTAAAATCTGCCTTGAATACAAATTATAAGAGTTGTTTGACTGATTTATGCTGTAAATAGTAGAGAAGTTCACAGAAAAATCCCAGAAAGCCTTCGAAACTGAATTTGATAATGAATTTCGTTCATTATGGAGAAAGATATATAGGCCAAGAACTACACATAAACATGGCAATGAATATAAATAATCCTAACAATAACCTAAAATATAAATAACTCGAAATAATAATCTAATAGTAACAAAAAATTATTAAAAAAAATTATAAAAATTATAAAAAAAATTATAGGCCGCTTACCAAGGATGAAAACATGTGAACAGCTCGCATGGGAAGAACATTTTGAGTCTAAAAAATCCAAATGAAATCCACGGCCCACCATGTCGCCTTCGACTGACTGAAAGACCAAGAGCTTGAGGGCAATCTCACACCCACAGTCTGCTACCATTCACAGGCACAAGGCACACGGTCGCTGCTTACTGAGAGTGAACTAGAAGGAAACACTTTGGGGGGGTTATACACTCAGCGTGGAGGGGCGGGGACAACTTTTGACACAGTTCATAGGATTCATAGACAATAAACTGACAGTATAGCTCCCCTGGTGTTTACAGAAAAACTGCCGTCTTCTTTGTACTTCTTCTTTCCAGAAATAGAGCTGCTCAGCATATGTTGCACTATTTCAAACAACAAGTTGTCACTGAGATGCAGGAGGTGCCTTACAAACCAAGAGAAACTACTGTAAAGTAACTGTGCACACGTATGACTAAATTATTTTCTCCTTTCTCAACGCAGTTACTGAAAACTCTCATAGGCTCACCGTGGCTCAGAGCATGAAGACAAATTACTTTTTGCCCTTTGGTTTCAGGAAACTCTTCATGCTTATTATGCTTTCAAAGAACAGAATGTAACTCTCATTTAAAGTCAGAAATTGCACCATGCTGACTCAATAATGTTTTTTGCAAATGTCTTTTTGAATCAGAGGACTAATTTGGGGTTTTCAAAAATGTTTCACGGAACAGACCAGTTGCTATCAGTTTTCATATCTGAATGGTTTCAGGGGGTTAGAATGAAAATGAAATCTTTGTAGTGAGAACACACACTTTCGAGTTTCCCTGTGGAGTAAAAATAGTCATGTAAGTGGGTAGGGTAACTTGCAGCCTATAGACAAGTGTTTTGGCATTTTGTGCTTAAAATTTTACTCTATTTTTAGTTACGTTTTAGAAGTGAAAATAAGCAACAAACATTAAGAAGGCCTAATGACAAATAATCATATACGTTTTTTGGTTTGGCTTTCTTTCAATGGAGCATACATTTAAACTACAGATCATCTTGAGTAGTGACTATACATATTATTTTATTATTCTCCAACAAGATCCCTTCCAGACATGTTTTGATAAAAATACTCCTTATGCTTTAAAAAATAATTTGTGTGTGATTTTCATTCAGTGACTGTGAATGGGTACTGTGCGTACTGTATGTGTGTGTGTGGTGTGAGTGCTGCATGCCGCGTGATACCACTGTCTCCTTTCCGGTCTTCAAATGTCACTGACTTACTCTGACAAATGAATTCAAAGAAAGGTGCACGTTTACCATGAGTGACCACATCCTCAAATAGTTTCTTTAAAGCCAAGGTTCCTCACCCCCGTACCTGGTTTCATTGTTAAAAACTTTGCGTGATTGTTTGCAACAACAAAAAGTCCTAACTTACTCAATAATGTCTTTTGCTTCACGTGGATGTTTGCGCTTCACTGAGTTAAATGATGTAGGCCTATGCGCAGAGTTTGACTCCAGAAGGCTTTTTTTACGTTCATCTGCTGAGTTTAAAACGTAATAATACAAGCATGCTTTGTGGCATCACAACTAGTATGGAAGTCAAGTACACTCCAATATGCAACTCACTCAAGTGTGATGTGGAAACTTGAAATGTCCAGTGCACAAACACTAAGAGGGGACTGTTTTTAGTGAAGCAGGGGACATCTTGTGTGCAGCAGTTAAATCTTTAAAATGAAAAAATATTGGCAGATTGTGGATTTTTCAATGATGGAAAAAGGAGTTGGTGTGATTTTTACTTGTTAAATGAACTTTTTTATTAAAAAAACATATCTGACTCAAAGTATTTTTCTGAGCAGAGCATTTAATTGATATATACTGTATTGATATAAAACTAAAGTTGAGGAACAGGACCACACCTCTCTCTTACTAATTCAACCACCTGCGCCTCATTCAGTTCCTCCAATTCAACCACCCGTGCTTCAGTTCATCCAACTGTGCCTCTCTAATCCTATCACAAGCACATACATATCTAACCCCTTTCTCTCCTGTTTCTCAATTCTCACATCTCTCCCCCCCAATCCCTGTTTTCTCACCTCTTTCAACAGGTGGCAGGTGTCCCAGTGGACAGCACTGTTGCTTCTCAGCAAGAAGATCCCCCGTTCACACCTTGCTCAGCCCAAGCCTTTCTGTGTGGAGTTTGCATGTTTGCACTGGTGATGAGCCCCCACACTGAGTCTTGACCCCCGGGTTCCTAGCCGCTCCGGCCACAAAACCCTAAACAACCTCCTTCATCCCTCCATTCTCAAACCCTTCATCATAGATACTCCTCATTATGCACACATCCATCCACATGCATGGAGGGAATCTTTAATTGAGAATTTTACTTTTAGTTTAACAAAATCACCATTTTGTGTGCTTCTCAACCGATCATCTCAATTTATAAGTAAATCTCTGATATTAAGAAAACATTAATAACTCACGTGATGCGATCTAAATGCAACTTGTGGGGAGATTTTTTTCTTAACTGCTGTTCCCAAGGCAAAACATAAACTTTGAACCTCTGTTATTAAATCTTAGTGATTTAGTCATTGTCGTTAGTTCCTCTATTACAAACCTTGTCAGCCAATTTAGGAATCATTGCAAGTTCCCTGTTTTACATGAGTCACTGACCTTAAATTTAAGAGATGTCTTTTCAAGTAAATCTATTTCCTTCAATCATGTATGGTGCTTTTATACATTATATATAAGACCAAGCAATGCCACAACCTCACTTAACAGGGCAAGTTGGATGTTACACATTGAGAGTTGCAGTTGGAGGAGGATAAAATCAAGCTGCACCTGTGCTTGGTTATGGAGGTGTTAGGAAAGTAAAAAACCACAGTAACAACAACCACAACAACAAGAATTAATAAGCGCATCAATGTTAACGTTGTTATATGTAAGCTTTAAGAGGGAGAAACAAGGAAAGAGAAACACTCATGTACTTTTAGCTGCATGTTCCTCCTTCAGTGCTCAACTGTAAACACAGGAAGCTCAGTTCTCACCTCACTGACTTCAGATAGTCAGCTTAAAGAACATCATTGACGCTGTTTATCATGATTTTGATCTTAACATTCTGAACACTGCACTTGAACACTGTACCAAAGTTTGAGCCGTCATGTTTATGTGCCTACTGCTTCTGTTTTTTTCTGAAGTTGAAAAGGTCAACTAATTAGATGTGACGCAGGAAGTGCTGATGACAAATTTAAAATGGTTTTGTGGAGGTGTCCCAAAGTATTGAAATTAGGGGAACTGCAAAAAGATCAAATGGTTCAATCAAAAGCAGTGAAATTAGAAAAGAGCATTTAAAAGATTCTCGCCACAGGAAATGAATTTCCGCTAAACAAGTAAACGCTTACTTGTGTTGTTCTCGTGTAAATTTCCCCACCATAACCTTATCCTCCTTAAGATCAGCAATGTGCTGTAACTCGTGGGACACAAATGATGTGGGTTTCACTCATGTAATTTTACTTTGATCGGAATCCTTTCATGTTTTTTTTAGTTGTACATTGAGAACCCGACTAGAGAGCACAGGATTAAGTCATCAGTCTTTCAGTAAACTGGTATTCATCACATCTTCTGTGTTTAGTGATTAATGAAACATTTGCACAACAAAACACTGATTCTAAGCTTTATTAACCCACTTTGAAAAGCTGTTCAAAGCAAGCTGTTTTGAAAGCTATTAAATGTTATTATGTAAGTAATTATTTTCTGTTGAAACCATTTACATCACTTTTACATGAGAGGTGCTTGTTACTTTATTGTTGTATTGTTATTGGTTTCATGGAGTAAAATAAGACAATAAAACAAATTATCATGACTAAAGTCAGTTTGCATTTCTTTGACAAGAGCATCCCTTGCAACAACTTCTCTATAATTGCATGTGGTCAAGTTTGACATGGATGGTCCTGATCATTACAACGGCAATATATTTGATACTTTATTTGAGATGGCATCCACTCAACCTTGACAAACTATAAATTCTTCATTTTAAGATCCCAGAATCACTGCAACAAGTTGGTTGTTTTGTAGCAGACTGCATAACTGCATACAAAATAAAACTGTCGAGTCAAAAGAAAATGATTAAAATTGCAAATATAAAAATTGGCAAGATAAAGTCTTACTTTTGTATCATGTTTGTGCCTATGTAAATTTGTTTCAGTATCAATTAGACTAATACTGACTTTTTAAAATGTACAGACCAGGCTCAGGACTGTAATGAAAAGGGATTGAGAAGAGCAAGCATTTTATTTTGGGTATGTCATTAATGGGCTTCTACACAAAAATAAGGTGCTTGTGAGGGTTTCAACAGCTGAGGAGAATGCATGTTTTGTTGTCAATGGCAACGTCCACAACACATTATGTGTAGCTCACCTCTCTTCACCAGCATCAGCAAACAGTACCCTCCTGTGGAGAGTCTGAGTGTAAACTAACCCTTAGGAAACATTATGAGAGACAGATGTTGCAAGTTAATAATACACAGAGAGTATCAAGTGAGGAAACAAAGTTCATTTATTCTCTGTATAATTTTAAATATTTCATATAAGCATTCAAATCCATAAAGATATGATGAACATTTTGTAAGAAGCAATAGCATTTTCATAAAAGAATCTTAACACAAAAGCAACCCGAACAATCATACTAGGAACAGGAACAGTTCATATCTCAAGTTCACACTTGTTTTTCTTCCATGGGTGTTTTCCTTGAAAGCTACTTTGTGACTAATAGCTACAGTTGAGACAAGAGTAACAGAACTGTTAGCATCAGAGTCTGTAACAAAAGAAATGCTGATAAAGATAAGAGTTAGTTATTGTTAATTTAACCTAAGCAGGTAGGCAGAAGAATAATGTAAGGAAAGTTCAATAACAATGCAGTTTGAATTCAAGACAAAATTGGTTTTAAATGTAAGATTAAAGTTTACAGCTAGCAGCTCCGTGAGGCTGCACAGTGGTGCTTTGAGCTAAATACTAATCTCACAATGCTAACATGCTGATGTTTGGCAGGTATAATGTTTACCATGTTCACTCAGGAAATTAGCAGAAATTTCCTATTCAGCATTAAACAAAAAGTTCAGCTGAGGCTGATGGGATTGTCATTTGTTTTACAAGTGTATGGTCATAAACAGAAACGATGGACACATTTACATTTTGACCTGATGAGGGCGCTAGATGAAAAGTCAGGTTATCAGGAAAGTTATTACTGTTATCTCTCTTGCTCTTCAGCTTCATCCCTTTCTTCTTTCTTAATGTGTTCTTGTCATTTAGGATGTGAACAAAACATGTTTTGATTTTCCATTTGAAAAGGCCAACGAGAGGTGACCCTCGGGCATCACTCTGGCCAAATGACATTTACACCAAACAGTTTTAGCCTTTCAAAGTAAGGCTAAAGCTTGCAAGCAGCGTTTTTAAAACAAGATATTAGTCTGGAAAACATCCCATGAGAGTGAAGTGATTCAGGAAGCTTGGACTGCTCAGTGAATTATAGAGAGGGGTTTAAGGTGAATGACAACACGGGCTGCTGTATTTCAAATTTTTTAAAGGTGCTCTGTCAGTTACTCTCAAGCCTAACTACATAAAACAGATGGTACCTACGTAATTTTTCAGTAACTGGATAGCCTCAAATTTATTCCATTTTTTAGTGTACAGATGAGGTAAAAATAAACTTTGAACCTGACTCAAAGACCAATGGCAGCTCAGTCAGTAGTCTGGTTTATTTAACCTGGTGCAGGGAGGGTTTCTGTTGATTTTTCAGTGACAGAGAACAGTTTTCATTCAGTTGATTCTGTCAACTGCAAAGTAATAATGTCCACTGACAGCCCTTAATAAGTAACGTTTGGACAAGTAGGTCCTGTCTAAGGTCTATTGTCACTAACCCACCCCATCTTTTTCCTCAATTACCATTGCTGTGATGGCATTTTATTTCAGGTCTCATCCTAGCCATCACCACGTTCTTCTAGGAACATTTCTGGGACTTATCACCATATCAGTGAGTTTTTCATGACAGATCCCAACTGTCTTTCCTTTAGGGTAAAACGTCGCTCAGGCCACCGCTACCTACAACGCCCTGATATTCTTTAAAATCATTATATATTTGTGGCATCACTGTCCTGTGAGAACCACATATCTCTAAAAAGTAAACATTTCACGATCTCAGAAAAAAACATGCAAAACATGAATAAACATTTTGCACATTGCTGCATAAACTGTACATCTCTCTCATTTTAAAAACAGATAAATTGTACTAATATTTTATTTTACATATTTTTCAATTTCTATTAATGTTTCTTGACTTTTGCAGTACTTCTTTTATTGAATTTTTTCTCTTACCATGTTTATTGATATGCACCAAATACCAAGGCAAAGTCCTTGTTTGTGAAAGCATACTTGGCATTTAACCTGATTCTGAGTAATATATTATTTTCCAGAAGAATTCACATTTAAAATCACCAAATTTGGAGATATGTTGTTTTAATAAGAAAATTATGAGCTGAAAAGTAACAAAAGAAGTCAGAAGTACAATATTTGCCCCTGTGATGTAGTGACGTACAAGTTACATAATATGGAAATACTCTAGTAAAGCACAAGTACCTCGAATTTGCATTTTACAGTACTTAGTTACCCACAGCTGTGCACAAGAATCCTGGTTATGTTCAGGTTTTTGGAGTATCCTGATTATGTGGTGTAAACATCACATCCTGGCTTCAGAAACTTGTTTTTTGGGGCTTATAAAACTTTGCTCCCCCGATGCTGAAACCCCCTAACTGGTGACCCCTGGCATGGCCTGCACATGTAAAGATAATGCTCTGTTTGGTTTGGCAGCAGCAGTGATCTGATTGGCCCGCCCCCACACGTTGGTGGGCGCGGTTTATTTTGGGGCTGCAGGCTTCACTTGAGCGTTTGGAAGACAGTGTGACAGCGTGGACTCACGCCGCTTGGAAAGTAATGACCGACAAACAGAGGCAACTTTTAACTGAGGAGGGGACTTTGGACTAACGTTAACCCTGACACTAAACAGAGTCGATACACATTTTAATATCGATATTACAGACTTTCGGCAAAGTCGTGACTTTGTTTTTACTCGGGTCAGAAAGGTGATTCTCGAGACTCATAACGAAAATGACCTCACTGGACAGGTGCGTTGACAGGTTAATTAATAGCTACGTTTTGTTTTGACTTAATGGCGCTGCCGTGTGCTTAGGAATTGGTGATATTAGTCGATATAATGGAGGAAAAGCATTTTTTGGCGCGTGGAAGCAGCGAAAGTCAGTCGTCAGGTTCAAACACCTTGTCCGAGGGGGAAGAAATGACGGCTGGGCTGGACGTCGGCGTCTCTGGAGACGGAGATGATGGCCACAACTCGGACTTGGAAAGTGTCAGCGAAATAGAGGAGGATAGAAATCCAGAGTACGACAAGGAGCCACCAGGGGATGAAGAAAGTGATGAAGAAGACGAAAAGGTAAACCGTCAAACCATTTAGCCACTGGAGATCCAAGTGTGCGGTTTGCTTGACATGTTGCACACAAACTATCCTACACGCTGGGGGTGGTGCAGAATTACACAGTTTAGGTGAGACGTGACCGTAATCAGTTTTAATACCTGCACACAGTAAGCAAGAGAAACACTTCTAAAGACAGTAACCTCATGCTCCTGCTGTCAAAATATCTATAAACAGCCACCTGCATGAGCTTCCTTTTGCCTGAGTTCATGTTTGGTGGGTTGCACATGTCATGAAGTCAGTGCAGCACACAGGCTAAGTATAATTCATGCAGCCTGTGAGCCTCTTTGACTTCATCCACTCAATTTACTAGTCATACTCATCTGAGGCTAAACTGCTGCACTGCTTTCTCTGTTGATGAGTTTAGACTTATTAAGTCAAAGTCTAGTCCACTGTCCCCGTTAAAGGGTTTTTTTGGGGGAAGGTAAGGATAGAAATACTGTGTACAGATTGTAAAGCACTTTGAGGCAAATTTCTGATATTGAGCTATATAAATTGATTTGGGAATTTGTGCCTATTATGTAATGCCATTACATTGCAGTCACAGAGCAGAGCATCCATTTATCTGAAAAAGAAATATCTGGCAGCCTTTGAGGAACCCAGGAGGTCATTTAACAACACTTATGCACTGTTTCCAACCATCAAGAAATATTTTAACTTATTTTACATGTTGCGCTTTCCTTTTCCAAACAAAAATAGGAGCCAGAAATGACGTATATGTCGTTGCTCAGTTTCTACATGAATAACATTTTAAACATTTTCATCTGTAATATTAATTGTACACTTGTTGCCTGTTTATTTTGTCCACCTAGCTAAAAATAATGTAATCTAACACAAAAGTCTGCAAACTTTAGCACCAAACTAATCAAGTTTAATCACCCCCCCCCCCCCCCCCCCCCAATGCAATGACAGATTTAGTCATTTCTGGCTATCGGGATTTGAATACACGATCACAACTTCAGAAACGGGTTAAAAGTCACGTAGACTTCTTTTTTATCCAGATGGTTAGAATAATCTTTAAGGCTTATTCTGGAAATACCTCAAACAGTGCTTTGGGGCTAATCAGGGCTAGCTAAGTGCTAATCTTTTAGAGGAGCGTGCAGTTATTGTAGTGTTTATTCAGGAAACAGATGGGGAAAATGAGGAAGACAAAATTCATGTCTCAGCCTTTAAATTTATGTAACACTTTTCTTGGTCATTTTCCATACTGGTTCGACTGGCTCTGATGCAGCCTGATGTGTGCAAGGGTGTGTTTGAGTTTTCAAACGCTTGCCTAGCTGAAAAATCCTTTCTACATCATATCATGCAACATGACTTCAGGCTATAGGTGTGGCTGACTGTCATTCCTTACACAGTCCAGCATAAGCAAAGGGAGGATACAGAAAACTGTGCAACATTATCTGTCTATTACTCCACACTTTTTGCCTCATATTTTATTGGATGCAATATCCCAAGGCAGTATAGCAATTCTGTACTTTTTGGCATGACACAAGCCCACTGTTATGAATCAGAAATGGGCCCACATTGTATTTCCTGTGAAGACACTACAAGGAATAAACACAAATGGAATCTAAATAATTTAATTAATAGTCAATGCTTTGTTTTTCCACACTCTGAGTGTTAAATCAGTATTTGTAAGCATATCAGACTCTTCAGCATGTACTAACATCCCCTGGAACATACCCCCGGGGTGGTGTCATGTTTGCTAACACTGGCGCTTAACTAATTCGGTTTGGCTGAATAACAAGTTGACAGTCCATCAGCTTAATAGATCTGAGACGAAGTGCATAGACTTTAAATAACTTCAAAAGCAAGAGCCAGAGCAGCATGTATTGGATGAACCTTGTGCCCCTTTCTCCTGATCCTTCTAAAATGTCAGTTTGTTCCTTTAAAACCAGTCAGGAACACTTATTCTGGCCACAGAAGAGAAGATTTAATTTGGCCTGCTATACTCAACTAAATAGACATGTCACCGGCCAAAACACCACAAAGCAGGTCAGATGACCTGCTAGTAAAGAGCAGCCTTCCAGTGGAAATAGTATAGTGTTAATCAGGGAACCCTGACCTTTGACGTATATCTTGCTGCTGTGCAGTTAAAGAAGGAATCTCTTCTGAGAACTCGGATGACATCACCTTTCCAGACTTAGCCCCGTATAGAGTTTCAAGGAGTAAGATACTTACTACTGTGGTGCTTTGTGGAGTTTTGCACAATGTTGATTTGATGATCTTCACAGAATGGCAGTGTCATTGCATTGTTGTCCATCCCAGACATCTAAATCAGTCCAGTGTCGTGGGCAGTGACAGAGAACATTATCTGCAGGATGAGAGACCCACGCATAATCCTTTCTTACATGCACAAGATAAAACAACAGAAATGGATTAGAAATGGGTAGCACACAGTCCAGATTCATAAACAGGTTATTGCCAAAAAATGCAGAACAATTATTGTTTCCAGCTTCTTAATTGTGATGATTTTCTTCTTTTCTCTGTTTATGTTATTGTAAATTGAATATCATTGGGTTTTTGGACTGTTGATTGGACAAATCAAGCGATTTAAAGCAATTTAATGACGTCACCTTGGACTTAAAAACCAAAAGTTTGTAATCGAACACTGTTGTATAGAAACCAGCAAATATTCACTTTGCAGAAGCTGTAATCGCTGTCTTACAGCCCTTTTTCCTTAAAAAAAAAAATAAATAAAAAAGACTGAAAATGTTTAGTCCCTTAAATGTCAAAACAATTTTTATTTGCTATCATATGTGACAAAAAAAAGCAGCAAATCCTCAGTTTTGAGAAGGTAGAACTGAAGAATATTTGGCAGTTTTGACTGAAACAATAATTGATTATCCAAATAGTTTTTAGATTAATCTTCTTTAAACCGACTAATTAATTAATTGACTAATTGTTGCAGCTGTAGTCTACTCCAGCTCTGTTTAAAGCATAATTTACCATAGAAGGATATAATCGAAGTATTGACTAACTAAATATGAATTTTACAATAGCATCCATATTAGCTTCACAGAAAAGTACTGTTTTGGTCCTCCCTTGATATACATGTTTGACCATGTGTGCTTTATTCTTTGCTTTAACTGCATGTAGGAGTATTTTAAATAGTTGTAGATTTCAGATAATGCTTGTTTCTAACCCTCAGTGAGATTGACACACTGCTTGCCAAGGTACACAATCTGTCAGTGTGTTAATCCCTGTGTTCATTGTCAATATGAACTACTGCATTTATATCCCCTCATAATCATAAATCCTGTAATCCATACTTTCTCATCTCCACCTCTCGTGTTGTGTAAGCAGAGTACAGGAATTGCCAGTTGTGTTATACTTAATCCCACAATTTCCTATTTGGTTTTCTTGCATTTAAATTTGCTGTTGTAACAACAAATACATTTCCCACTAAAGCTTTGTCTTATCCTGTGTATTTCACCATTTAACTATGATACTTTAAGCAATGTATGATATCTGAAACCAGTATTCCCATGATAAGTAATACAAACTTGAGTGGGAAACTGGAAAAGTGGGCAGAACCATTTTCAGTTATCAGGGAACATCTTGCAACAAAAACAATTCTCAAGAGAACACCTTTTCCCATTCTTCCCACAAGCCAGGTTTACTCTTTCAGGCTCTAATGACTGCAGATGTTTGTGTAGTAGGAACTTGACAATCGGGTGGATTGTCCTCAGTATACAGAGTGAGCAGCAGCATTAACTGAATTGCTTATGAAGATGCATATTCCATATAAACAGCAATAGACATTCTTTAAAAAGATTTTTTTAAAAACAAAGAGTGCGTAATTCATCAATAATCATACTTTAAAAAGAAAAAAGGATAAAAACAAAGACTCAGTAATTCATAAAAGATTAAGACTAAGCAGTTATACAAATTTGATAGAAATGTACAATTTACATACAAGTTAATGTTTACAAGTTGTTCACCATGTAGTTAAAAGTCTATATTCATTGTAGGTCTGAACAGCAAAAGGATCACAAACAACTTTCTTCATTAATTATTAGAAAGATTTTTCTTTTAATGATTTCCTATATTAACTTTTTAAAAGTTAGAGTCGGAGAGTCTGTATCATTTATCGTCATTTTCATTCAGTCACATGTGAGGCTCATAATTCCAGAGCATTGGCTTATTTATGAATTACAGTAGGTTTGGGCTGACTGACATTCAATAATGAATTCAGAATATCAATATATGCAGATAATGCCAGTAGAAATGATCATGCGCCTCCGAGCAAGACGTGGTACACATTTAGGGTATAAATATGCAGAATGCAGGTTGTTATTCATGTGCAAGTGTTTGTTAACAGGTAGTAGCTACAGAGAGAAAACACTGCTGCAGTTTCTACAGCTGGCTGACAGCTGATCCAGTGTAGGTCAGCTGCCGCCGTCATCACAAATGGACGTCGCTTCATGTGACGCGTTTGCGTACGTTTGAGTTCATTGTTTAGTAGTCTGGCCCGCAACATTACTGCTTTGGTTCACTTTCGCCGTTCTCACAGAGATTGCGTTAGACTTTCTCTTTGTCCGTCATTTTGACAAATAGGGTCGAAAAAATAGAGAAAAGATGAGAGAACAGACACTTTTCATGTCACTACACAAAGCAGATTAATTATTTTTACCTCCTTGCAGCCACTTGCCTCCCCCTCAACATTAGCTGCTGCTGGCTGATAAACGTTATCAGGGGCGTCGTTAGGATCTTGAAACATTTTGGCCTCAGCCCAGCCCAGAAATCTTCACATTTTCACCTGATAATTGCACCGCCCCCCCCCCCCCCACCCGACACACAGCAGCACTGCCCAAGATAGCCCTGCCTACCCAGAGTAAGGAGATCCTCCCACAACAACACCATCAACTGAAAGTGAATATTGGACTTGCATTCATCAGGTGGCCAGAAATACAACTCCAAATGAATGATAATGTTGCGCTGTGCCTGCTGGATGTGGA